GACTAGGACCTAAGTGACTAGGACTGGGACTATGACTATGACTATGAGTATGACTGAGTATGAGTGTGAATGGGTATGACGTGACTACCACCTACCTACCTACCTACCTACCTACCTACCTGTACCTAGCAGACTTAAGACTTAAGACTTAGCACTCTCAACCAAAGGACAAAATGCCCTCAACCTGGAATCCAAAGTCTAAGATGATGAATGGGTGCACAGCACTGGAGTCAAACCTGACAAGAATCGGAAACTGCAGAGCAACTGAGTCATGTGACACCTGTGCCCATTACGATTGAAAACCACGCAAAAATGGCCGCTCAAGAAACAGATCCCCGCCTGATGTTTTGCCATCTGGTTTGCCAGAACGGTAGAGTCCTTGGGCAGCAATGTCTCGGCGAAAGTCAGGGGCTCTTTGCCCTTGCAGTGCTCCAAGGCATCGCGCAGGATGCAAGCTGCATCCTTCAGCACAGATACACCAAGATCGCGGTGCACCAACATGATGTACACTCGAGGTCTTGGGAATCCAGACCACAGATCTCCGTCCACATGCTGCCAGCATGCGAAATAACGAGGATGCTGGACATCTGTGCCATCGTTGACAGCAGATAGCAGTGCATCAAGTGGGGAATCGCGCTTGACATCTGGATGATGCACGGACGGCCCTTGGGCTGCTTCATCCTTCGAAGCCATGACGAATCCAGTCACGTTCTCAAGGACCGCCAGAAGCGGTTCCCGAGTCCTAATGTCGGCGGCCACGCCGAACATTACTGCTGCTTGTGGATGAGCACGCCACCCTGCAGCAGAAGTGAAGCGATCAGCCCGCTGTCTGGAGAACGGAGAGCAAGGGAAGCCTGCTACATACAAGTCATCACGGATGGCCTCCAACGTGCACATCTTCTCATGCACATGACAGTACCCCGAGCGCTTTTGCAAATTGTCCACAGAGGCGAAGTGATGGCAGGAGAGTTGAGCCACGTCCCGCATGAACTTCATGGTAGCTGGCTTTGGATCTGCACTCGCAGTCTCCAGTACTGGAAACCCAAGGGTTCGCAAGCCGATCCGAGGTGCACCTGTGCCCGAACACGAAGTGCCCAGGCGCAAAGGCCTGTGAAAGGTTACAGGCTGCATGCGAGGCCCGAAGAACTCCAACATATGTCTTTGCCACGAAGCCACTGGCACATCATGGACACAATCCGACAGCTTTTCTGGTTGAAACTTCAAGCCGGTGCGACCTTCAGACCCAACCTCCCGGCCCAGCTCCAAGTCCATCTCCATTGGCGGTGGCACAGCATCGAAAGCAGCATTCAGATCACGGGGTTTTAAAGGCGACTTCACCAAAGCAGAGTCGCTGCAGTCGTCATCGGAATCCTCAAATAAGCTCTCGGCCCTACAATGATGTTGTTTCTTCGTGTTGCCCTGGTCAGGGCTGTTCACTTGCCACAAAAACAACCGACGGTCACGCAACTCTTCCGACTCCAGAAGGGCGGAACTTTCTGAAGGGCCATCCTGACTAGCGGTCGTGCATGTAGCGGTAGCTGTAGCTGCTGTGTTTCTGCCCACATCCACAGGAGTGGCAATGCCAATGGAAGGAGTGGCCCTAGGACTGCCGATGGGTGTCTCAGCCGCAGCCATTGATGCCGAACTTTTGCTTGACACTTTGTCATTCTCACTGTCTGTGAATGCTCGGTCCGCTCGGGCCGCTCGGTTGTCCTTGGGCATAATCTCATTGGCATTGGCCGCAAGCGAAGCAGCCTGCACCTCAGCTGTTACCAGGCTTTCGCTGGCCTTCAGAGCTTTGGAGGGCGGCATCTCCGACATCTCCCAAGCACTGGCGGCATTCTGATGTGACTCGGCCGATCGTTTGGCCTTAACATCTTGCTCCTGGGCAGCGGGAAAAGCCTCACTGGCAGCACTGGCAGTCTCGCGAGTCTCGCGGAATGTGTCGCCCATAGAATCTATCAGAATCGCCACACCGCATGAACTGCTGTTAAGACGTCCTACGGAATAGAGGAATAGAGTGTAGTGTAGTAACTGTAGTATACTTAGTATACGTAGACGTATACGAGCAAGTGAACATCGGACATGTCAGACATGTGCCCATCTCCGCGTCTCAGAATCACAGAATCACAGTTACAGTTACTAGTGAACAGTTAAAGGCTAAGGCTAAGGGTGCGAGTTACGAGCATTCCTGGTCGTAGTCGTAATCATGGTCCTATCTGACCATGATTTGCGCGGAACCTGTGAGGAACAGTCAGAAATCAAAACGTTCATTTGCGCACTGCACGATGGCCCGGCCCGAACCGAGCATTAAGGCATTCAGAAAAAAAACGGTCTCCTTTTGCCAGCTCGCCAGCTTGTCGATTCTGGAGTCGAGAGTCCAAGGACTCTAATCTATATGGTACTATATGGCAGCAGAGCATGCAGCCGCCGAAGCCATGTCAGTAGCAAAGTCCAAAGCCTGGCCTAGGCCTAGAATCTAGAATCTAAAATGTGGAAGCGAAATCTCAGTCAATGCATGAAGTGGCCAAGCCCAACTGTGCCTTCCAATCATCTAGCTGCGCTTGCCATCTGCGTCGCGGGGTGATCTCTGTCGGTTCGGGCGTCATAGGTTCAGTAGGATCTCTGGAACTCCTTGGGCGGTATGTGTTGAAGGCTCGATATGCGGATGTAGCCTTCACCTTGTTGACACTCTGGATGCGCGTGGCCTTCTCTTGTTTCCATGTCCATAAGGTCATCTCGCCACGGGGTCGGTCAGCCTGCAGTGTGTTTTGTGCGGGCTTCCAATTTTCATGCAGCTGCACAAACAGATACACATGTTTGCAGGAGGTATGACCGGGAATGAAGAGGAAACAAGACTGTAGGCTTTTAACTTTAGACTTTAGATTAGGTCATACAGACAGAGACAAGACTTGAGTGAAATGACTGACTCGACAGGACAAGACTCTGACATGACACGCGATTGAACTCCGCGCCTCCTCTTCTGTCTCTGACTCTCGCTGCTCCTTCTGTTTGAGGTGGCTGGACTTGGAGCTGGTGGTCTGCAGCTTTGGTTCTGGCGCCCACAAACTCAACTTTGGCCGCTTCGGCTGGGGACGGCTGGGTTGCAGCTCTGACTGTGACTGTGATTCGCTTTCATCTTCCGAACTTTCAAGAAGAAAGGCGCCCAAACGACGCAATGGCGGCACGGGCTCTGCCCCAGACATGATCCTCAAAAGCTCTGGATTCTTGTAAAGTCCTAAAGTCCTAAGAGCTGCAGGAAAGCACGGAATGTCGCTGTATCGGTCATATCGGTCATATCTCAAGCGCAGTACCATCTTCGAATCTTGGAATATTGAATATTGTCATACGTCATACTCTTCGCCTCTTCGCTGACTGACTCGACATTACCGACATTACAATACAGTACATTGCATGGTACTATTGCCTTTATCTTTTGGCAGTTGGTATTGTCACAAGAGAGCCGGAATCAGAAGAATAAAGAGACAACTCACGACAGCAAGGTTGGAAGCAGATGTGATTGAGATATCCACTCATGTGCAGCAGACAGCCCAGACCGCACCTGCGTCAAAGACCCTCGCAGCACTGCAGTCACTGCAGCATGTCAAACTTGAACTTGCCTGATCTGCTTCTGGCCTCGGTCTAGTCTAGTCTTTTCGCGTCGCTGCAGCACCGATCGGAGAGTACACGGTGGCATGAGAGACGGTGTGGAAACCTGGGCCTGGCCTAGGCCTACGGCTACGGCCTATCGCGGGCTATTGCAAAACGGGACATGGGCAGCTACGACGCACATGGCTGCCCGCTTCGAGGAAGCAAAGCCTTTGCAAAGCCATCATTGGCCACAGCACAGAATCTGCAATGCGGTGGCCCCAGGGCCAAAGGGCTGCCAGGTGAGATTGCAATGGCCTCCTCGGCCCAGGCCCAGATTGCATGGCACAGCACGAGGCCAGAATCCACAAGCCACGCTTGCCCAAAACTGTTTGGACTGTTTGAGACGGACTGAAGTTTCGCATGCAGAAAGCAGAAACGCCTAAGGGCAGTGGTCCGGCTCGCTGTCGGGCTCGTCTGAACGACGGTCTCGTTCCTTGACAAAGAACTCAGACGCATTTGCTTCCTGACGCAGCCTCGCACGAGCATTCTTGCGGTCGAGAAATGAAGGCACAACCAAGGAATGCGCTTCCTTGGAAAGACATGCATGTCCCTGCACGGCCCACGCAGCCAGGAAACCGAGCGGACGTCCTTGCAACCTCCTGCCATGTCTTTGAGAGCTTCTGAGCGTCTTAGTCTTGGTGCAATTTTCGTGCAAGGAACAGTTTACAAAGACATCATTACTTTGCGGTTTGTGCTTGATCCAAGCGAGAATGCTGCCATCGTCGTTTCTGATGGCCAAACCATCATGCACAAGCCGTGGCCCTGCCGGCAGCGCTGCAGTCCTGGCACTTGAGCCCCGCACTGGCGGGGCGCGGCTTGGGGCAGATGGGACAGCACTGTCAGAGGCAGGGCGGTCATGGCCACGGCCAAGTTCATCGCTTGGGTCCCGCACGGGCGGGGTAGCTGGCGGATGCACAGAAAGGGGCGCGGGTGGTGTGGGGACGTTTCTGTTTTCGTCCCCTGACTCAGACATTGCACCGATTGCACCTCCACCCCGCAATTCCGCTTCAAACTCGTCTTCAAATGCCATGGCTGACATCAAAGCTTCTGCGAAACTCTCCGCCGCTGCATCTCTGACTGTAGCAGAGCCGGACGGCTCGGCACCCGAAGCCCTCGCTGCCATAGCCATAGCTGTAGCTGCAGCTGTAGTTTCAACTGAATGTCCAAATGGAAGATCAAGCGTGCCAGGTTGAAGATTTGGATCTTCTGCAAGAAGCGAGGCTCCGATTCTCTCATCAGCATCCTCCTGTCCCCAGTGCTCATCTGAGTCCTGAGACCCCACAGATTCAGCAGCAACTTCGTCCTCACCAGCTGCATTTGCACGTCTACGTGCTCTGCTGGCAAAGAATTCAGCGAATTTCCCAGCTGTGTCATCTGACCCCTCGCTTTCGCTGTTGCCTTGACGCTCCTCCTGCTCCAGCATTGACTGCTGCAGAGCCACCTGAAGGGACTTGTCTTGCTCTGGCAACAGAGTATTTGGGAGACTGTCTTCAGCTGGAGATAGAGAGCCTGCAGGAGAGTGAACAGAAGCAGGAGGGCCACCCTCATCATCGACCCCATCTTGAAAGAACACTTCTGCTGGCTGGGTTTCAGCAGGCCCATTGGGGGAATCGTCATTCTCATCGAAAATAGAACCCACTGTCGGGGGCGGCTTAGACTTAGCTTTGCCGGCAGGCTTGGGCCCAGGCTGGGGTCGACGTTTAGGAGCAGGTGTTATCTGCAGCTGTGGGTCTCTGGGGCTGGGGTCTTGCTTGGGTTTTTTGGGGCCACTTGAACCTGGGCCTGGACCACGAGGACCACCTCCCCCACCCCCGCCTTGGCCCCTTCTAGGAGCATGCTCCAATTGTGAGCCCCTCCAGAAGCATGCTGCAGGCAGGTCGCGATGCACTTGAACCAAGACAAGGCCAGGATCAACTTGAGGTATAGGGGCACGGGCCTCGACAAGTTCATACACAGACACCATCCAAGCAACATCGAAGTTGTGTAGTTCAAGCAGCATCTGATAGCGATCATAACACGTGGGGCCGGCACGCAGAGATTGCCGGGATTGCCTCGGGACAAGCCCCGCAACGTCACCCTCCGGATGCTCAGGTTCAGGGTGCATGCGCACACCGTACAGGCTCAACTGCTGCAAACCTCCAAAGCACAAGGATATGTGGTACCAGACAACTTTTGACTGAAACGGAGCCAGAACACTTTGGCCCTCCGATCTCAGGGACTCTGGTGAGCAAGATGAGAAACGAAGGAATAAACATCCATCTTTGAGCACATCCTTGCTGACTGCATGCACGCTCAAAATGCCGCGCATTGTGTTGCGCAACCTGCAGAAGATTCTCTCTAGTGTTTTTCCCTCACCCTTACAAAGACATCTGTTGAACCCTAAGCACTTGCTCTTGCTCACTTTGAGTGTCTTCGTTCTTTTGGCTGCCGGAACCCGGTCCTGAGATTGAGGGTCCACGTCTTCTTCTTGCTGTTCGTGCTGATCATCCTTGATTGAAGGGAGAACTTCAGCGCAAGCCCGCGCGGGCTGATCGGGTTGCTCACCCTCGGCTACACCACTGGCAGTGGACACGACCTCGTGTCTCTGGTGCCATGCAAGATCCAAGTTCTGAAAATTCGTCATTCCACGCAGGAAGGAAGGCTCGCCTTGAGAAATCTGTGCCAGAAAGAAAGGAGCAGCATGCATGGCTGTTGCTGATGTGTCTAAGCACAAGCCGGTTCGACTGTTGGCCACATCCGGTCGCAAAGCCCACACGGAAGCAGGGTTCATGGCCATCGTCATAGTTGTCTCGGCTGCAGCTCTGGCTGCAGCTTCCATGGATTCCATGGCCATGGCATCCATGGAAGCAGCTGGGGAGATCGATTCAAGCTTTGCAGGGGCAGATTGATTCACACTGACAGGGAGCGCTGCTACCTGTGCCGAAGCTGCGGGCAAAGCCAAGGCCGACGTCAAGGGCCCCAAGCCCAAGCCCAAGGGCGTCGAAGGCTGAAGTTCAGAGACAGACCCGGGCTCGATCAGCTCGAGCTGAGGCGGACACGAAGAGACAGGGCGGCTCGAATCTGCATCCCGGCACAGCTCCTGTGCGGTGATGCCACTGAAGTTCAGCACAGCTTGCTCTGAAGCACTCACATCTGCGTGGGACAAAGAATCTTGCAGTCTGCATGCCGAGTCTCGAACAGCTTGCTGCTTCTCCCGATCCTGCTTCACAGCAAGCCTTCGCTGCTGCAATCGAAGGTGTTTGGTGTTGAGCAAGCTACCATGTTCCGCGACAGGTGGCAAGGCGTCTGTTGCCTTGCGCTTGCGGGGTATCAACGGCCCAGAACCTTTCTTCGCAAATTTCCTGGCTTGTGTTTTCAAGCTACCCAACCGCTGCAACTCTTGCCAGTCAGACCCCGCTTGCCTTTTCAAGTCGTGGTATCTCTTCCTAAGCTGGGCCTTGGAATGCTTGCCTGCAGGTGTGGTGACCTGGGGGCCACCCCGATTTTGTGACAGGAAAACATTCCAGGAGCCCCCGCCCCGACGCAAATCCTGAGCCCTAGGGAAGTGGACACTGCGAAAATCAGGTTTTGTCCGCGGCTTTCGACCAGGCTTTCTTGGGACAGGCTTCGAACTCTGAAATCCTCGACTGGGAGCACAGGTGTGTCGAAGAGTCCTGGCAACATAGGCTGCGCTAGCTGCTGCCAAGAGTTGCCTGTGACTCTGGATGCTTTTGGACTCTATGTGCCGCCGATTGCTGGCATGCTGGCACTCCGTGGCTGCAATATCAACACTTGCAACCTTTGCAATGGCTTGCAGGTGAGCGCGGGCCTCTGCACTGGCCAGCCGCTCTGCCGAGCGAAAACCCTTGACAAACCACCATGTGAAGGAATCTAACCGACATGGCTCGTAGAAAAAATCAAAAACAATTTCCTTGGCCACGCGTTCCGCCTCTGTGGCCTGTGCCGTCGCAAGGAGAAAAAGCTTGTACGGGTACCCAGATCTGCGATTGCGGATATAAACTTTCAAGGCGGCAAGGACCCTTGCAGTAAGTTTGAATGCGAAGCTGTTATTTCGCTGAGTCAAGAACACAAAAGGCAAGGATTCCCAGTGTGATTTTTGGAACAACTTGGCCAAGGCAACCTCAGCTTCAGCACTGGCCGAATCGGCATGCACTTCAGTGAGGCGGTACTTGCGCAGACCCGTTGTAAGCTCCGCCAGGGCCTGCTGTTGGTCAAACTCACTAGACGAAAGCTTCAGCTGCTTTGCCATGAGGTTGACTTGAGGCCCAAGCACAGTCCGCAGGAATACCATTTCAGCAAGCAAAGCAAGCGGGCCGTCAGGATGGCCGCATGCCCAAGCATACGCAGCATCACGCCATTTCTTGGCTATGGCCTTCCATTGGTCGTCTTGCCGGTCTCCGGAATCAGCTGCTGCGAAGCCGCAGGTCTCGAAAACCTGCAAAGCTAAGAGTTGACCACGGTCGTCCTGTGCTTGAGCTTCTACATCATCCGTGTCCATAGCGTCACTGGGTCGTGTCTGAGCGCGGGACTGAGCCTGAGCATGTGAAGACTGTGACTGCGCCGGATCTGAGGCTGTCGGTTTGTTTGGCCGACTGGGACCCGGACTAGGGCCGAAAACATCCTCAAACACCTGTGTCAACAAACCGTGAACACACTGTAGCCGACCGTACCAATCAATTGCTGCGTCACTTCCTATCCATTTATGGCGGGGGAATATGGATGGAGCTGCTCCCGCAAGGAGCCTGACACCTTCTCGCAAGAACCTTTGCATGGTTTCCTGGGGACTCGAACAACACCCCACACAGTAGTGTTGGATTTCTGACTGCACTCCCCAGTCACCATTGAAGAGTTCTTGAAGAAGCAGTGCATCGGCGGATGCCAGGTTGCTGAAAAAGGTGTTCATAAAAAATGCCTTGCTTGCTGGAATGCTAGGCCCAGCAACAACATTTTCGGGCGGCTCGCATTGGTACACACGCAGCTTGGCAACGATCAGCGCACGCAGGCAACGTCTCAAACTGCTCATATGTCCGGATCGCAACACCAGGGAGGCTTTGATCAAACCGGATATGAAATCCGGACACAAACTGTACATGCTTGCCGCTACACCATGGAGGCGATGGACCTCGCAAATTAAGTGCAGTTTGCCCGCCTTGTCATCACTCCTCGCTGGGTCGTCTTCACTGACATCACCATGGAGTTCACACATCTCCTGCTGCGTCAGCATCTTTTCAGCCAGATGGTTGGCAGCATAATCATCTGTAGTGACGACATGAAGAACCCGGTCAAATGACCTTGCCTGATCCACAACTTCGGAATGCATGTTCTTCTGAAGCGCTGATGCGATGTTTGCAGCAGAGTTTGTATGCAGCACTTGCAGGGGGCTGGTGAGATGGGCTTCGATCTGCAAAGTGTTCGGGGCCTCCTGTGCATTCTCAGTCTTAAACTTAGAAGACTTAGAAGTTGATTCAGAAGGGTCCTCTATGATCTCTGTCGCCTGCGCCTTTGCTGCAGGCTGCCCTGCGCCCTTGCGAGTCAGCAGCATGGAAAAGCGCTGCTGCGTCAAGAACAACTTGCAAGGATACACCTCCACTTCTTTTGATGAAACCGGCAAATGCACGGGTGTGCGTGCAGATGCTGGCAATTCACATTCACGCACACCGGGCCTGGTTGCCTGCGAATCTGCACTTGGGTCACCTACGAGGCTGTAGCTTTCATTCACCTTGACTTTAAGTTTAATCGGAGTTTCGTCATATTGCCGCACGTGCATGAATAAGGACAAATCAAAGCGGGGAGAGGCTTGGTCCAAATCCTGGCCCTGGGTTGGGATGCTGCCGGAGCATTGCGGGTCTGACCCCTGAGCTGAAGCTGAAACTGGCGAGGGCATCTGGCAAGAAGTCTTTGCTGCTGCAACAACCCTGGACACAAAGCTTCCTGCTAAGGCCTCTTGGAAAGACAAAGCCAAGCTAGCCAAACGTTGAGGAACTTCATGAACACAAAATCGTGATTCACCTAGAAGCTGTGCAAGCGGCCTCGCGTTGGTTCGCAAAACATCAGTTCCGAACAACAGAGCATTGACGCGCTGAAACTTGGGAACCTCATGACAACGGCGCCCGACATTGACAGCTCGCTGCAGGCCAGCGATACATTGTGAAGCCGATACCAAGCCAGCGCGAACCAGCTCTGCACCTACTTTGGTTACATTGGAAAGCTGCCCTGCGAGAGCTGAGCCTATCTGAGTAGCACCGGCAGACTCTGACAACGGTGGAGCCGCAGGCCCCAGTTGCTTTGCGCGACCCCAGCGAGCCCACCGAGCAGTTGCAGGATTGCTATTGCCCTTGCCGGTGCCCCGGCCTTGGCCCTTTCCTTCCCTTCTCTCTTCAATTCCGTGCATGATCTCTTGGCCCTCGATCTCCAATTCGCACTCTCCGTCTCCGATCTGTGCATCTGCATCATCATGAGCGTCACTGTCGCTATTCTCGAACAAGCTTGCAGCACTCCTCTTTGCACAAGGGGTTTCCATGTCCACGGGCATGCCTGTGTCTGCGCCTGTGTCATCCTCTTCAAAAATCGAGGCTGCCAGGCCTGCCTGCAAGGAAGGCTGCATCGCTGGCTCAGCGACCTGTCACACCAATGCGCGGTACCCCCGTAGCAGCTTTAGCCGTTTCGTCCCGGCCTAGTCCTAAGCCCCAAGTCCTATAGCCCTAGAGTCCTAGCGCGAAGTCCGAGTGGCCCGATAATGAAAGAGTCCTAGGTCTTAGAGTTAGTGCATCCACGTTAGTAAAACTTTCCAGACCAGCCACCAAAAAGCGAACGAAGGGCCCTGGCCGACCGAACAATGATCTACCATTCCTACCACATTTCAACCCGAGCCCGATCAGCACCACCGATGCTTCAGACAGCACGCGGGCAGAAGTCACAAGTCAGGGACTACAGAACTATAGAATTATGGCGTGAGAACTCAAACACTTTAGTAGATAGTCCATCCCGACCCCAAAATCCCAGAATCAGAAACCCGCCCGAGCCGAGCCAAAAAAGCACGGCCTTGCCCCACCTCTACATTACCTAATTTGGACCTGATTATTGGAATAGAATAGAAAGTCCACCCTGACCCCAGAAAACCGAAACCAAACAACACGGCCTAACCCCACATATATTTATATGATTATATGACCCACACTACTACTACTACTACTACTACTACTACTACTACTACTACTACTACTACTACTACTACTACTACTACTACTACTACTACTACTACTACTACTACTACTACTACTACTACTACTACTACTACTACTACTACTACTACTACTATATTACTACTACTACTACTACTACTACTACTACTACTACTACTACTACTACTACTACTACTACTACTACTACTACTACTACTACTACTACTACTACTACTACTACTACTACTACTACTACTACTACTACTACTACTACTACTATCTCTCTCTCTGCCGTGCCATCATCAAGTGTGAAGCAATGCAAGGGCACGAAAAAGCAAGCCAGAATATCAGGAGGCATAGCGCGTAGTAGGGGCTATGGCCCACCCTAAATCCCTAACCGCCCTAACCGCCACGAAGGGCGCTTAACCGCCATGAAGGCGAAACCCTAACCACCACGGGGAGGGGGGGCGGGGGGGGGGTGGGGCACCTAACGCTGAACAACTAAGCTACTACGTTACTATCTCTCGCTCTCTCTGCCGCGCCATCATCAAGTGTCTCGCAATGCACAAGGGCACGAAAAATGCAGGCCAGAATATCAGGAAGCGTAGCGCGAACGCTGCTACTATACTATACTATACTATATTTTAAACACTCAAAGCCCCAAGTACTTAACTTAAGTCCGCTCGGCCCCGAGCCTGCAGCAGCAGCTGAGGCACCAGGCAGGCACCTGCAAAGGCTCGGACGAGACGGGAAGATTGAGAGCAAGTGACTTACAAAGTTTCAAGCTGGGTTGGGAAAGGGCCGTGGAGCCGTGGGGGCCTTAGGGCAGACAGGGAACAGGATCATGCGAAAACGTTAGCCGTCGCTGAGACTGAGACAAAGGTAGGGACAAAGGGGGATGGGGAAGTCCATGGAAGTAAGGCGGGTGCCTTGAAAATCTTAGGGCCTAGGGCCTAGGGCCTGGGGCCTAGGGGCTTGAGGGTGAATTAAGGCTCGGGAAGCAATGCAATGGTCGGCACTTTTGGGGCCAAGAGCAGCGCGCCAGCTCGGTGCGATGAGTCTAGTAGCAGCTGTGCCCACACTGACCACGGCCAAGGATTTGTGTGTGCGTGTGTGCACATGTCACGTGTGTGTGTGTGTGCCTGATGTAGCCTCGCTGATCCGTGTGAGGCAAGCCACTGTTAAAAAAGCCGACCGGACCCACCAGTCACAAGTGATAAAGCCCATGGCCCATGCGAAGCAATGATCCTTTCAGAAAGTTTAGTATGGTATGCATGTAGTATTTAGTATACACCGGGCCGGACTCTTGCGCCTGGGTCCTAGGTCCTACAGCAGCAGGTCGATCCCGGTCCTCGGTCCGAAGTCCTACGTCCTCCAAGTCCTAGGTCCCTGCCGTCCTACGCCGCTTCACCCTGCCACTGGTGCTGCTGCTGCTGTCCTCCCCGGTGCCCTTGCTTCCAGTGCCACTGCCATCCGCACCGTCACCGTAGTCCTCCCCGGTGCCCTTGCTTCCAGTGCCACTGCCATCCGCACCGTCACCGTAGTCCTCCCCGGTGCCCTTGCCGCCACTGCCATCCGCACCGTCACCGCCGTCGTCCTGGCCCTTGCGCTTGCCCTCAATATCCTGGACGAACACGTGAATGGCAACCGCTTTGGACTCCAAGTCACCGCAGTTCCGGGCCTGTGCCAAATCGTTTCCAAAACCAAACCGAAACCCTAACCCTAAAGTCCCTAAAGTACCTTAAACCCCAGCCACCCTAGCCCTAACCCTAACCGCCCTAACCGAACCTAAGCCCCAAGCCCTGCTAGTAACCAGTAACCGCTAGTGCCGCTAGTGCCGCTAGTATTAAGTATTATAATCATTGTAACCAAAGGCCCCAGCCCCAAAAGTAAGTATGTGCGAGCCACTGCTTCTGCCAGCATGCTCCTCAACGGCATGTCCAAGGGCGAACTCATCGACGCAACAGTGATTGCAGAAGTTGTGCTTGTAGCATGGATCGGCAGCTCCTTGATCGTAATCTCCGCAGCTTCGACCGTTATCGTCGAAAGTTGGTAGAACGGCTCGCGGGCTCCATCGATCATCCTTCCTACCGACCCTACAAGGCCCCACAATGTGCCCTACAATAGCCCTACAAGGCTTTACAGTGTCCCTGCAGCGGGACTGTCGAACCTATGTTCCAATGACAGTCGAAAGGTCGCAGGGCCCTAGTGTCCTAGCATGTTCGAGAGATTCGCACATGGCACATGACATGTCTGTGGCCCTGAGACTGCAAGCCACAAGCCGCCCGCAATGAATCGGCGCACACACGATGCTAGTCTAGGCCCAGGCCTAGGCCCCAGGCTCTGAAATTCCAAAGTCAAGACCAACGGTGCAACCCCAAACAGACAACCAACACCTCACCCAGAGCCCCAGACCCACAACGACCCACAAAAACCCCACCCCCACGACGTCGGCACCTCAGGAGCTAAAGTCCCAAATCCCAAGCCCAAAAATTCCTAAGCGGTTCAAAAAAGGGAGGGGTCGGCTAGGGCTAGGGCTCGGGCCGGCTAGGGCGGTTAGGGCGGTTAGGGCCAGGGCCTAGCGCAGTTAGTTTATCAGAACAACACGGCATACAACATAATCTGAAATTCTGAAAGAAGCAAAAGTCAAGAACCCGAGAACCGACCTGACCTAAGACCTAAGCCTAAGCCTAAGGCCTAAGCCCGAAACCAAGACCAAGCACGTAAGAAGGGGCACCTCCTCGGCCCTCCGCGTAGCCGTAGCCGCCGTAGCCGCACCAAGCAGCAGCCTGTCGGCGGGGGTTTTGGGGTCAACCCTGGAATCCTAGAATCAGCTGCACACCTCAAGCTCGAAACTGATCTCGGCAAACACTGTCGAATCTCATCACTGCATGTGAGTTAACTAAGTACTAAATTGACCCCACAACTTACGGGATGCAGCACCTCCTCCGTAAAGATGAAGCAGCGCAGCGCCAGGACCAGGAAGCAGAGGACCTCGTCGAAAGGGATGTTGGTGGGGACCCTGGGGAACCGGAGTTCGGGCTTAAGCCTAAGGCCTAAACCCTAGACCCCAGACCGACTGCAGTGACGATGCTTGTTACTGTTACTCACGACTTGACTTGAAACCCCAAGCCCAGTTTCCAATTAAAATCGAAACCAAACCCTATATAAGCCCTAAACCTTAACGACCCTAAAACCTGCGTGCACTGCACACTCTCAGGAGCAGGCCGCCACAGACCACGGAGTGGCCAAGTCGCGCCCCACCTCAGCACCAGCACCAGGAGGCACGTGGAATGTGGCATGCGGCTTAAGGCTTAAGTCTAGAGTCTAGACAGTGACAGCATCAACGACGGCAGCCAACCAGAAGGCAAGGTCGCATCTCGCAGAAGTATTGAGGCCCTGACAGAACCCACGAGGATGCCACGGCAAGGCGAAGCCAGCGAAGACGACCACGGACCTGGGCGAGGGGGCGAGCACCGGGAAACACAGTGTGCTGGGGCCTAGGGGGTGCTGGGGGTCAAGGTTGAAAGCTCTCCTGCGCGCACGGACCTACCTACCTGGACCTACCTACAATCCACAATGACAGGCCGCACTGCAGTCAGGGGCCCGGACTCCCCCAGCCACAGCTCATCGGCCAGCGGTCACACCGCCACAGTCGCCCGGCAGCGGGCCACACACACACACACACACATCACGAAAGAAGCGGGTAGGGGAGGGGGTTCTGACAAGTGCTAGACTCAGACTGTTAGGCAGCGGAAATTCTACGGCTACGGGTTAAAGCGGCTAAGGAGTTTTGAAACTTGGTACACTTCTCGATTTCTGCGTGTCATCCTTGCGGCCTTGTGCAGGGGCCATGCTAATCTTCGCTACGGCTACGGGTTAAAGCGGCTAAGGAGTTTTGAAACCTGGTACACTTCTCGATTTCTGCGTGTCATCCTTGCGGCCTTGTGCAGGGGCCATGCTAATCTTCGCTGTATCGTGCCAACATTATCGGATGATCCCCTTCGCTCACACAAGCTCACAGCAGGTACTGCTCATGATTCATGCACATGCGACATGTGACCCCGTGTGTGCGCAGGCGCAATGCGTGCTGCATGTGCATGCCGTGTTTGCACGCTGCGTCGGAGTGGAGTAAGTAGACGAGTGACGAGTAGAGTCAGTAAAGTAGAGCAGACTGAGTAGACGAAGAGTAGAATCGAAAGAATAAGTGAAGTACCTCAAACTGAATGATGATAAATGGTGAGTGGGACAATGTTACTATAATCTATAATACAATACAATACAGTTAGCTGTTCTGGAAAATGGCTATGGCAAACCTATACATTTCCTTTCCTTGTGGAAAGCCATGGTGTCCGTTGCTAATTTCGTTTTATTTCGGTCCTAGGCAAAATTAAAATATAAAGTATGAACACTGAATGTTTGTATGTTTTCAATCGATTTGGAACGCCAACGTATGTGTGAGGTTCTTCACTTTTTGCTTCCTCATTCACTATGTTGTTGCTATGTTCCCTATATGCTTTCTTTGTTTGTTGTAATGATTAGCTCTTGATCAAAACACAACCCAGTTTTAAACCATCTTGAAAGAAAGACATTACATGTGTGAATGTATTAGTTTTTGTTTATTTTTTTTACATTTTTTCTCCATTTTTTTGTCATTTTTTCGCTATTTTATTCCTATTTTTTTGCCATTAAATTCCTATTCTGAACGGTCACATCGGCAGGTATTTTAATTCCATTTTTTTCCTATTTTAATTCTATTTTGGATTCCCATTTTTGGGTGCTATACCACAATCCAGGCTTAGATAGAATTCAGCCTCATAATCTTTGGCCTTGTGGAAATCTTGGGCGACACCTTCCCCGAACTGGTACAAGAGTCCCAGACTGGCGGGTGCTCCGGCCCATCCCCTTTCCAGGCTTAGCTCAAAAAGCTTCCGCGCCTTCTTGAAATCCTGGGCCACTCCGAGGGCGTGATAATACAAGCTCCCGAGGGTAGCCGGGGCGGCTGCGCTACCCATCTCCATGCTCATTTCATACAGTTCTGTGGCCTTGTGGAAATCTTGGGCGACACCTTCCCCGAACTGGTACAAAAGTCCAAGGTTTCTGGGGGCTCCGGCCCATCCCCTTTCCAGGCTCAGCTCAAAAAGCTTCCGCGCCTTCTTGAAGTCCTGGGCCACCCCGAGGCCCTGGTGGTAGAGGTTCCCGAGGGCAGTGGGGGCGGCAGCACTGCCCCTTTCCATGCCTGTCCTTAGTTGCTGAGTTCATAAGCCCCAACAAGTTTACACGTTCAGTTCTATAGTGGATCTTACTATCCCCAAACGTGTAAAATGTATCCACTCAGCTACTAAGTATCTCATATAGTTTCCTGGCCCTCTGGAAGTCTGTCGCTACCCCTTGCCCGAACTCGAAGATGTTTCCAAGGCCCACGAAGGCCTCAGCGTCGCCTTCTGCCATGCCTTCCTCGAAGAGGTCCCGTGCTTTCTGAAAGTCACGGGTCACCCCGAGACCGTTCCTCGTTCCCCTAGGGATCTAAGGACTCATATATTAAGGCTTTTGGGCCCAAAGACCATACTATATAAGGCTTTTGGGCTATTTTGATCCCCAGGGTTCATGGTTGGGATAGGATTCAGAATTGAAAACTTTTGCTCCTTATTGGGTTCAAGCACCCATAAAAATGGAAAATGTCACCCAACTATGACAAAGGTTCTGGTACAAGCGGCCGAGGCAAGAGCGGGCGTCATCACTGCCCTTTTCGATGCCCAGTTCATACAATTCCTTAGCCCGTCGGAAATCTATGGCGACACCGTGTCCAGTCTCGTACAAGTATCCAAGCTTGCTGAGGGCACACTCGTCGCCTCTTTTGATGGCCACCTCATACAGTTTTTTGGCCTTCTGGAAATCTTGCGCCACACCTTGCCCACTCTGGTACATAAATCCAAGGAGGGTGCAGGCTCTAGCGAAGCCCCTCTCCATGCTGAGTTCAAGGAGCTTCCTCGCCTTCTGAAAGTCCCGGGCCACCCCGAGGCCCAATGCGTACATGACTCCGAGGTTGGAGAAAAACCTAGCATCGTTCGGGTCGAGGAGATCCCGAAGATCGCAGACTGCAAGGTTCTCTTTGGCACAGTGACCATAGTGCCACCATGTGCTCTCCTGAAGCTTCTCTGGCACCGGCGACAGCAACCGCGCCCTTTCGTAGATGACGGAAGTTGCTGCATGCATGTCGCCAGGTGTCATGGCGGGGTGCGTGAAGGTAATGTTCACCTGCAGTTTGCTCCGGAAGGCTTGAACAGCAGCTTTCAGCTCACTTCTGTAGAAGACTGTGTCAAAGAGGGTCTTGTAGGACCGACCTCATGGGGGTACTGGGGTATGGAGTTTCCGAGAATAGGGGACCCTAACACAGTACCCTAAATAGTAGGATCCTTGTTATAAGGACCCCCAAAGAAGGTACCCCTAATTTTCTGAAACTCGCCTGTGATAGTAACCCATCTTGTTGCCTAGCAGGAACCCACGGGTCTTGTAAGACCGACCTTGCTTGATGTGATATCCGATCGCGACGGCGACTTCTTGTGACCTCGCAGCCCAAGTGCTTGCGAACTGCCGGGATGCGCCAACCCAAAACGCCTTGACCTTCAGGGTTTAGGGTTTGGGGTTTAGGGCCAAGTCCCTAAGGGTTCATGTACCCAAATAGTATATACATTGACCCCAAAGTACCCAAATGGTATTGCTTTTTGGCCAGAGTATACACTATTTGTATACTATCTGGGTGCACGGACCCCCAAAACCTAGAGAACCCCAAAAGTAAGCCTTATAGAATATAGTATAGTTTTCTGTGTGGGCACACGGACCCTTAGGGGTTCACGCGCATGTGCACAAGCGTAGGATTGTTGGTTCGAAGCCGCAGGTCGGTTCTAGGATGAAATCTCAACACCAACTAGACATGTTCTAATATAGGGCCTGAATAATTAGAATAGGGCTCCTTTAAGAGGGTCTATAAGGGCTACTATAAGGGTACCATAATATACGGGCCTTCATACTTAGAATAGGATTTTGGCGCCCATTATACTATAAGTATAACAGACAACAAACCCCCAAAATAGTATAGGTAACTATTAAGGCCCCTATAGTAAGCGCTGCCCACCTTGGGAAAGCTGCAGGACTTCAGAGTATTCACCTCGGGAGCGTTCAGGAGCTGCCCGAGCCGGGTGTCCGGATCCTCCTCTCCGGGCACAACGTAGGGTTAGGGTTTAGGGTGCCTACTAATTAGAATGGGGGTTTGGGGTGTATATCTATCTCTATCTCTCTCTCTCTCTCTCTTTCTCTCTCTCTCTCTCTCTCTCTCTCTCTCTCTCTCTCTCTCTCTCTCTTTCTCTCTCTCTCTCTCTCTCTCTCTCTCTCTCTCTCTCTCTCTCTATATATATGTATATATATATATATAGAACAGCTATCTCCCAAACCTAGTACTCGAAGCCTCCGAGACGCCAGAACCGCTTCAATCAACTTACATGGCACACTTCAAGCTGGTGAGGGACCCCTGCTATGATTTTATCCCAGGGCTCTGGTTGCCCAAATCATGGGTATTGGGGTCATATGGGTGCGTGTCAAAATCATGGTGCCTTTTTGGGTCCTTCTTATAATACGGCACCTAATATTTAGGATGCCCAAAAAGGGGCCGTAATTTTGACAACCACCCATATATGGTTAGTATTTAGTAACTGAATATTTACCTAACCCTACATAGGGTTCCGGGGCGAAGTGTCGTCATTGCAAATTTGGAGCACTCTCTGAAGCCCGTCCTTGCTGTGCAGGACACAGCCGCCCTGTTCCCGCAGTGGCCGCAGGACGTCTTCACGCTCCGCGTCTTGGTAGCCACTCCAAAGCAAGAGGTGCGTCTTCTCCTTAAGCCGGGGCAAGAGAGGAAGAGGCTCCTCTTCAGATGAGACAAGTTGGGGTCAACAGCTGATACCATAAAGCTAACAGTTCAGACATCATCTCCCCTCTGTTATATCCATAGGAGGCGCCATTATAGTACTTCACTTATAAGCACCCCGAAATAAGGTCCCCCCCCATTTTGGGGAAACTCGGATCTCCCCTCCGCTATATGGGCGTTTCCGAAAATAGGGGACCCTAATATAGTACGCTAAATAATCCTTATTATAAGGACCCCAACATAAGGTGCCTTAATTTTCGGAAACTCCCATATCCCAAGGAGCTAGAAGTCGGTTCCAGGTATCTCCAATCTAGGGAGAAAGCGAGTGTCCTGTGAGACTGAAAGCCTGAACACTAAACCCCTAAACCCTAAACCTCTGAACCTCTAAACCTCTAGACCCTAAACCTCTAAACCTCTAAACCTCTAAACCCCTAAACCTCTAAACCCTAAACCCCTAAACCCCTAAACTCAATAAACCCTTGAATCCTAAAACCCCTAAACCTTTAACTGGTAGCCAAAAGAAGCGAGGTGCCCGACCGCACTGAACCAAGCTCTGGCTCCAGACCTCGTAGTCCCCATCGCTGACAACGGCTTCCGCCTAATTAGGGATTTGGGGTATACTATACTACAGTTATGATAAATGATGAAGGACGCCCCACAATGGTATAGGCAATTTCTGGAACCCGTATATTACACTTATGGTCCAGAGTAAGGCTGAGTAGGGCATGTCGTCATTCAGGTTCGAGTCTAGTAGACTGTACTTGGTCCTGTAAATGAACCCTTCTGGGGCTGAGTGCTGGTGATATTTGCGGCCCTTCGTCTGGAGGATAGGTGGGGGTGAAATTCTCCCACCTCTGCTTCGCAGCCTCCGTCAGAAACCGTCTTACCATTCTGCTGGTCCTGAAACGGGGCTTAGGGGTTAAACTCTTAAACCCTACATCCCCAAACCCTAAACTCATTTTGGGGGGCTTTTGGCTGCTGATCCTGAATCCTGAAAGGCTTGTCGAGCTCAAGGTGTGCAGGGCTTTTTGGGTTTCAAGGATTCAAGGTTCATGCAGGGCTTAGGATGAGCCTGCTGCTGCGTTTCGTGGGAGATTTAACCCCTTAATTAAGGAATATAACTTAAAAATATAGTAGGGTCCCTAATATGATTTCAAGTATATTCCTTAATTAAGGGGTTTTGGAAGGTCTGGGACGGTCCTCTTCGCAAATGTCCTGTATCTTCCTCTTGAATATTCGAAGCTCTTCTTCGCAACCTGGCAATCGAACATTCAAACCGGCAGCGGGCGAGCGACAGGAACACGGAGATGAACAGGGAGCACAGCAGTTCGCATTGCAGTGGCCAGGCACGAGAGGGATCGGGTTCCATAAACCCTAATTAAACAAATTAGAACCCTAAACTCTAAGTCTATTAAGCGCCTTAAAACCCTGAGCGGTAAACCCTATAAAAAGACCTACAACCCTAAACCCTAAACTCTGTTAAGCAACTTAAGGCCCTAAACGGTAAACCCTATCAACAGACCTAGAACCCTATAGTCTAAAGTCTAAAGTGCCAAGGCGCGGGCAGGCTCGGGTTCTACGGTGCCTCGGGTCTCCCTCTCGGCAAGGCCTGGATGCATGGGAAGTTTCACTTGCATGGCTAAGAGTACCACTTTTTATCGGGGCTTTAATAATCAGAATAGGGTTCCTTTAAAGGGGTCTATAAGGGATCTATAAGGGCTCTGTAACATAGGAGCCTTACTTAATAATTAGAATAGGATGCAACTCTGGCGCTTCAAGCGGTTTCCGGACCGTAAACCGGAGGCTTGGCTTCAGGCTTTGGGCGTTACTTGTGAGTCGTGTGTATAAATGCATACATATCTAAATATAGACATACATATAGACATATATATATATACATATATACAGTTAGATAGATAGAAAGATAGATAGATGTGCGCATATCTATATATACATAGTTACTATCATACATATATATATATATATGTGTGTGTGGAAGTCTGTAGATAGATCGACAGATAGATAGATAAGGTAAGGTAAGATAAGATAAGATAGATAGGAGCACGGTTAAGGCAGTACAACTGACAACCCCTTTCAGTGCCGGAAGCCGCACTTCCAAGAACACTGCCGTACTATCGGCGCCTTAATAATTAGAATAGGGGTTTGGGGGTATCTTATATAATGCTTACAGTAGGCGGTTTGTGGGTATATATATATATATATATATATCTTATCCGATAATCATAATAATAAGGAACCCCCAAAATAGCATCGGGAATCGTTAAGGCCCCTGTAGCACCTCGAAGCCCGGGTGGCCCGGAGAAATCTGCTGAAACGTTTGAACTCACCTAGGGTTTTGGGGGTTTTAGGATTTAGGGCAATTTAGGATTCAGGGTTTGGGGGTTTAGGGGTTTAGGGTAGGGTTCAGGGGGTCCAAGGATTCAGGGCAATTTCGGGTTCAGGGGTTTAGGGGTTTAGAGTAATAACACTGTGCACAGGCCATCTCAGTAGCGCAACTTCTGCTAGCTCCCACTCCAGAGCAAAAACTAGCAGACTGCCTAGGCCCTCCATTTACCTCTTTTGGACCCTACCAAGAGTCTCGAGTGTGGTTCCTTTTTGGCTTAACCAACCATATACTAAGGATCCTACCAGGTAGCCCGAGACTAAAGGTAAGTAGCCATTCTTCGGGCCCGTATATCCCTACTTGAGGGTACAAGCAGGTCCTGGTGATGACCTCCGAGGCACGAAGGAAACTGAGGGTTTGGGGTTTATAGGGAACTCCAGAAAGTTGGAATATGGTTTCAGGGTAGGATACCTTATAAATTACCATAAAGGGTTTAGGATAAACATATTCCAACTTTCTGGCTTTTGCCTTAGGGGTTTAGGGTGAGGTGCAATTTGGGGCCCGAAGAGCAAGTCCCGTCTGCCAGGTCTGGGTGGGGGCCTAAATAATTTAAAGAACTACCAATACTATTTTGGTGGATCCTTATTAGAGGCATAGTATGACGGGCCCCCAAACCGTATTCAAATTATTAAGGCCCCTGTATTAGTCAGCATGCATGTAGGAACATGGACCCTCTCTGCCGCATGAAGTGCCGACAATGATATGCGTGCCATCTGTTTTGCCAGCATGGTCTGCGCTGCAGGCAAGGAAGTGCCAACACTGCTAGCACGTCGCGTGTAGCTAGCATGAAGTACTGTTGTACTGGACCCGGTACAAACCTCAACCGATTCACCAAAGGACTACAACTATAGCAAAATGATACATCATACTTCCCAAACGTTGTCTAGTTAGTAAGGCTTCCATATTGCATCCTGCACACTGACCCCGAATCTCACCACCCGCCTGTTCGCAAGCCGATGACGCGGTGGCTGCTGACCAAAAGCAGCATCGATGTGAAGACCACCATGGCATGGTGCCAGAAAGATGAAAACATCACTTTTCACAGACAAATGCTTGAGATCAAACTGCTTCCAAGCCGATCGCAATTGTTTCAACCCCTGGGAGACGCCGTGCCTCGTCCCCAATGCATTGTTTTTTGAAGGACGATATCTATCCATCTACCATTATCTACCGGTCTATCTTTTCGTCTATATAAGCATTGCCAGCAATACTAGCGTATCGATTGCCGTGAACCTAATTTATCATGCGTTGGGGGCCTGAATATTTAGGGTCTGGAGTTTTAGGGTCTACCGTAGAGGGAAAGCTAAAATGCCGTTAGAGTTGCTTTAAGAAGGTACCTTCCCCAAAAAGGGGATGAGGGTAGCACTGCACTTCTCAGATAATCGTATTTATTGGTCTCGCTACTTGACGGCAGCTATGACAACAATGACGATGATGATGATGCTATGATGGCTGCTGCTGCTGTTGTTGCAAGCACATGCGAGTCTATATAAATAGAGATGGACAAACAGACGGACAGAAACCCTGAACCCCAAATCCTAGACCCGAAACCCAGACTCAGAACCCTAACCCTAAATCTTAAACCCTGAATCCTAAAGGAAACCCTAAATCCAACACCGAGGGACCTACGATCTTCGAGTACTGAGAGGAGGAGGGCCGAGGGTGCAGGGTACCTACTTGGAGGGTCGGGGGACTTAGTAACTGGTTATTTTAAGGACTTATAAGTATCATAACCCCAATTAGGGTCCCTTTTAGGGTACTTATAAGTCTACTTACTAACTACTTACTAAGTCCCCCGACCCCCCAAGTAGGAGCAACAAGACTCTGCCGGCGCGACCCCGAGCAAAGGCACTTTCCCCTCGCGATGTGGGAGTGCATTGCTTAGAGGCCCAGGGGACTTAGTAAGTAGGTTATAAGTAGGGTTATAAGTACCCTAAATGGAGTTACCCCAACCATAACCCTACTTATAACCTACTTAGAGGCCCAGGGGACTTAGTAAGTAGGTTATAAGTAGGGTTATAAGTACCCTAAATGGAGTTACCCCAACCATAACCCTACTTATAACCTACTTACTAAATCCTCTAAACCTCTAAGTGGAGTTAAGTACCCTAAATGGAGTTACCCCAACCATAACCCTACTTATAACCTACTTACTAAGTCCTCTAAACCTCTAAGTGGAGTTAAGTACCCTAAATGGAGTTACCCCAACCATAACCCTACTTATAACCTACTTACTAAGTCCTCTAAACCTCTAAGTGGAGTTAAGTACCCTAAATGGAGTTACCCCAACCATAACCCTACGTATAACCTACTTACTAAGTCCTCTAAACCTCTAAGTGGAGTTAAGGACCCTAAATGGAGTTACCCCAACCATAACCCTACTTATAACCTACTTACTAAGTCCTCTAAACCTCTAAGTGGAGTTAAGTACCCTAAATGGAGTTACCCCAACCATAACCCTACTTATAACCTCCTTACTAAGTCCTCTACACCTCTAAGTGGAGTTCAGGGTCCTCGGGAAACCCAAACACTTCCCCAAAGGGTCCAAAGTACCTGTATAGTAGAGGTTTAAGGTTTAGGGTTTAGGGTTTAGGGTTTATAGAATGTAGGGTCTCTATACTAGGGATTACTGTGTTGATGTAGGGAGGTATCCCCCATAACAGTACCTAGGACCCTGGGTTCATGTACGGCCTGAATAACTAACCATAGTGACAGAGAGGCCTCACAGAAGGACGCAAGAAGCAGAATCAAATATAAGGTTTTTGCAATTCTGCAATCAAACGACGCTTTTTAGACAGAATGGGCCGAATGGGCAAGAGCGCTGTCACCGACGACGATTCTGGACTTAGCGCTGCGGATCTGGAAAGCGCGAGCGGTTTCGACAGAATAGCAACCCTGTAGCCACTGCGCTTCAAAACAAGACTAGCTACGGTAACTCGTCTTTAAACTCCAAGGGTATCCAATAATTAATATTATCAGGAAGCGTACCCCCTTACAACCCTAAACCCGTAATCTCAGGAAGCCTTACAACCAGGTGCTTCATGGGACCCGTAGCCCGAACCTGTAAACTAAATTTCTTCAGGAAGCCCCATAGCTCTACGGGAGTTTCCGAAAATTTGGGCTGCCGTATTTTGGGGTCCTTATATCTGTAAGGATCCCATTATTCATATTATTTAAGGTACAATATATGTGTCCCCTATACTCAGAAACTTTCGTACCTAAACCCCCAAAGTAAGTAAAATAAGAGCCCAAAACCTATAAAAGGCCATTATTCTACATACTTTTGGCCTACTTGTCGGGTATCATGGGAAACTAAAGGTTAACCTTTTTGGTTATATAGGGATTATATAGGGTCTATACTACCCAAAAAAGGTTAAAGGTTACCTACTCGACGACTAGGTTGGGGTCCAGGAAGAGATCCCTCAACGGACTCCTAAAACCCTGATTCCCCACCTTAAGGGGCACACGGCCACTCGAGAGGAAGCGCCATCCCCCTGCAGGTTACCGGGTATGGGGTCTAGGGTCGTTTATTTAGGGTTTAGGGTCCCACACCCAAATTTTCTCACTGGCCCAAAGCCCAAAGAAATAACAGTTGAAACTTTCAGAACCGACTACCTTATAAAAACCCCAATGAAAAGTTGAGTATACAGCCAATAAGTTTTTTGGGTTTCGAGTTTAGGGTCCGGGGTCCAGTAAGAGACCTGTGAGGGTCCGTACCCAGCCCCCCGGGAGGATCCAAAAAGTAGATCCCCTAATTTGGGGCCCTCTACTACTAAGGGTACTTTAGAGGAACCCCCATTAGGGATCTACTTTTTGGATCCTTCCAGAATTCGGGGTATTAGGAATTACGACAAGAACTGTGTCAATACGAATTACCACACGGTTACCTATAGGGGTTACGACAGATTATACAGGGATCCTCTGTCTCAGAAGGATTTGGCATGTGGGGTCTAGACTTTGGGGTTTGCTTCACGATAGGGTCTTATGTAGGTTCTTTCTAGCGGTTATGGACTTTCATGAGTTTTTATGAGGCTTCCAGAAGGTCCTGATGTAGGGCCTTGTAATTAAACTAGGGTTTCCGGTGGCATGTTCTAAATTGTAATATACCCACAATCCAAGGGTAAAAGGAGGGACGCTTAGTAAGGACTCCTAGATATATACCCTTAATATAGCTATTATATACCCATTATACAGCCCATTATAGGGTAGGGGTCCCATTAAGGGTCCTTCCTTTTCCCCTTTGACAAGGACTAGAAGGGTACCACTGTAACACTAATGACACAGAACTCTGCGGTATGCTGTTTTAGAGACCGTAAAGGCTCGTGCGGTTTAGGGTTTAGGGGATCCTGGCCCCTCGAATTCAAAGCGATAGAAGAGGTTTGATTCGATGTGCCACCAAGCTTGATGCCGGAGCTTTCCCTGAACCCTTAAGCTACAGCCCAAATCCACCCTGAAACCCCAAAATCCCCAAAACCCTGAACCTCTAATGAAACCCCATGGACAAAATCATGCTACCCTTCTAAGACCAACTCTTGCAAAAAGAACTAGTTCCTAGAACCCTCTTCAAACCCCGTAGTACACCTTAAAGTTAAAGGGAACCCAAAAGAAACTATAGAAAATAAGTATATGGATCCTAGTCCTAAACCTCCGGCTTGGACAGTCCTCTGGCCTGGCTTGTCTTCCTCATCCTCCAGCAGAAGCATTGCAGGGGAAGTCAAGTATAGGGCACAGGACTTTGGGTTTTGCTTCGTAGTTTAGGCTTGCAGGTGCCAGGGTCTTGCCTAGACCCCAAAATACTTGAAATAATGGCCCAAAACCTATAAAAGGCTATTATTCTACATACTTTCGGGGTCCAGGTGGAGTTCTCGAACTCATGGGTTTGAAGCGTGGGTTTAGCGGCAGTTGGGATCGACGGCACCCGGTAAGACTTGCTGGTGCTCCTTGCAAGCTCCGGTGCTGCCGACCCTAAAATATGGAATTCTGCTGGGGCTTCTCACCCTACCCATAGTATCCATAGTAATTCCTTTATGGTTTTCATATGTAGAAGCCTATGAGGTAGTCCCAAAAAGGAACTACTATGGAGCCTATGGGTACTTATATGAAGGTTGTCATTTGCTGCCCCCCCCCCTTGCGTCGGCGGTAGGCGTCTCAACAGCCTAGCTTTCATGAATATGGGCTGCACAGGCCCTGCTGTTGAGCCACTTCCAGAGCGAAAACAGCAGGTGGCGCACGAAGTTTAGGCACTTTTCACCGTCTCTGCAAAAGAAACGAACCCCAAACTCCAAAACTTATGATTCATGAGCCAAAAAAACCAAAAGGCCTCCCCCGAAATCGTAAACTTGCACTGAGTAACATCCTAAAGGGTGCTTCAAAGGAGAAAAGGAGGGACCCTTGATGGGGACCCCTACCCTATAATGGGCTATATAATGGTTATATAATAGCTATATTAAGGGTTTCTACCTAGGGGTCCTTATTAAGGGTCCCTCCTGTTCCCCTTTGAGTGCTTCTTCCACCATCACCAACACCCTAAGCGAAAGCCTACCCGACTTGTCGGCTTAGCGTTGGGGCTTACGGTTTCGATAAAGGAGCCAACCGACCGATCATCGGGGATCGCAGACGGACGGTTGTTTCAATGAGAGCTTCAGAAGACCACATTAGGGTTTAGGGTTAAGGGTTTAGGGGATCCTAAATCGTAAAACCTAAACCCTAAATCCTAAACGACGAACAGCATAGACCTACAACACCAGTGACGGATCTCACACTCAACAAAAACACAGAAAGAACCAGCGTATGGGGCCTTCAGAATTGCAACAATTCGGCTGCTATCTCACCCTTTTCCTTTAGCACTGCTATAGTATAGCTCCATTGATAGAAACCCTACGAGAGACCATACTATGATACCATACTTAGAAACCCTAGAAAATGACCATATTTGATACCATAAGTAGAGACCCTTACACATACCATATTGACACCTTTTTTCCTCCGTCACTGGTCTGCTTTGGCCCGCGTCCCCTGCTTCTCAGCCGCCCGAGAGATCCTGCTCGACATCCTCCAACTTCTTGAGGGCCTCCATTTGAGGGTTTAGGGGATCTAGGGGTTAGGGCTGACCGGTTTACGGGATTGGGCTCTAAGGGTTTTAGCGGTGCGGGAGTTAGCGTTAGCCCCAAGCCCTATAAAAAAAACATAGTAGGCCGTTATTTCTGTACTGCACGGCCCCACTTCAACACGCCCGCATTTTCGCATGTTTATGACCTCACAAAGCTTTGTTTCATTAGGCTGCAAGTGAACATTGAACTGAAGGCCCGCGACCCGAAAATTCATTTTCCAGGAGTGTGGGTACATGGGGGTTTAAAGAAGCACTGAGGAGCATGAGACTTGAACTTGAACAACAAGTGTGCAATCTTGCAAAACCCGTCCAAAAACACCTATGAGACCGTACACCCCAAACCCTCCGAAGCCCTAATCCCTCATCTCTAAACCCAAAACCCTAATATTACAATAATATAGTGGCCTTAATAATTAGAATAGGGTTTCGGGCCCATTGTACCACATGTATGGGAGAGGTTCAGGGCTCAAAGTTTGAGGTGGGTATCGCTCTTGGGGTTTAGGGTTTAGGGTTTAGGGTTTTGGGGTTTAGGGTTTCGGGGTTTAGGGTTTAGGTTTCAGGGTTTAGGGCTCCAGGTTAAGAGTTGCTTGGGGTTTAAGGGTGTAGGGGTTTATGGGTCGAGGGGTGAGTGAAGGGCTGCCCGGGATTCTGGAAAAGGCAAGATCAGGAGAGAGGAAAACACCCCAAATCCACTTCTCCTGGTGTAGGCTGTATTGGTTAATTGAAATTTTCTAAACCCTTTAAACTTAAAACCCTATAAACTCGACACCCCTCAGATTGCACCTGCGCCACTTTATGTGACTGCCGTGGATTAGTAGCCAGTAAAGACTTGGATGCAGGGATTCAGGGGTTCTGGGTTTAAGGCTTGTTGTTGAACAACTTTCTCCGCCGAGCACTTAAGGTCGGCAGAATCCACATATTCGTGGGTTTCGGGTTACAGGGTCCTTTAATTATGTAAGGATTGAGGATTTAGGGTTCGGGATTTCGGAGTTCTTTCAAGGCCTCTTTATCGGCCCTTTAGGGGATCCGGGTTAAGTGATCGAGAAGCCTCCCTAAACTCAAAACTTCTAAACGAAGGGCCCTGTTTTCGCTCCGCTGCTATACAGTAGAAGCCAAAAAGCTGGAAAGCCAAGAGCCTGGGTCCTTGGGTCCTTGGGCGTAATGCGCTGTTTGGGTTTCCAACTTTTGGGCTTCTACCGTAGAGAGAAGGAAGATCAGGCCGAATCTTCCCATAGGAGGAAGGAGTGATTCCTTGGTCGCTGTTAAGGTTCAGGGATTTCGGGGTTAGGGTTCAGGGTTTAGGGGATCTATTACTTAGTTGCTGAATTAAAAAAGCCCGAAAATGTGTACACTTTCAGTTCTAGGGAGGTATATATTAGATGTCACCAAAAAGTGTAAAGTAGACTGATTCAGCTGCTAGGATTCCTGTAGTTGGCCATTGCAAAGCCAAGGGCAAAGCCTTTCGAGTGACCAACGACCGGACCGGCATCGCCCTCAGAGATGAGGATGTGGAATTTAGCCTTGTGGTTTTCCTGATACTTCTTCACGATGCACTCGGCGAGCTTGGCCTTCGCGACAGTCACCATACAGGAAGAGATGTAATTCGACACCGTCCGAAGTTTGGATTGATAGCGGAAGGTGTTGGACTACTGGAAAGTCACAGTCTCCTCGAAGATGTGCTCCTCATGAGTCAGAATGTCGGTACCGGGCTCACTGGTAGCGACGCTTCCTGAATCTTTCTCCTCCTGCTCGTTGCGCATGGCGCAACATGACACAAGCAGCGTTGCGAGTACCACTCGGGTCACGGCGGAGAGGGACATGGATGCGTTTGCTCACAGCAAATGGATTTGGAAGGCACACGGGAGGCTGCTTGCTCGAGCCAAGAGAATGCCACAGGATGTGGGATGTTCAAAAACGTATCTTGCGCCACCCTCATACACTAGAGAACCCTGGTTGGTAGGGAGCCCGCATGTAACGGACTCCATAAGAAAAGGAAGCACAATGTTCAGAAGCCCCATCTGCTTCCTCCTACAATCCATGATCATTTATAGGTAATTATTGGCCCTCCTCTAGTACCCAGACCTTCCTAAAACCCTTAATCAAGGAATATACCCTAAAAAATAATAGGGTCCCTAATATGATTTAAAGTATATTCCTTAATCAAGGGGTTTTGGAAGGTCTGGGTAGTATTGGTAATATTATTCAGGGCCCTTAAACCCTAAACCCCTATGGAGTCGAAAAAAAGCCGTTTAAAAAGACAATACCTATGGATCCCTTAAAGGGACCCTCCTCTAGTACTGCACTTGGGGGTTCCTGGCCCAACCGACTCGCACTGGCCTGGAGGGCGGGTCCGCTGTAGACCTCCTCCACGTGCATCTGGGCACCCTAAACCCTAAACCCTAAACCCTCATATCTTCATTATGAGACGATGGGTCCCTTTAAGGGCTTACCTGTAGTCTCCATTGTACTTCCTTCTTTTGGTTTAACCAAAATTATATATTCAGGATCCTAAAAGGAAACCCCCAAAAGGAACTACAATGGAGACTATAGGTAGGGCTTAGGGTTATAAGGGTTATAAGGGCTACTATAAGGATAGCATAGTATAGGGGTGGGCCATAGGCTCTCAGAGAGACGGGTCCCAAGAAGAGGGGTTTGCTGCAGGGGGGGGTGTGGGGTCTTGCAAAAATAAAGTTCAGGGCTCAGGGCCTAATTATGGCGCAGTCAAGTTTCAATCGTGGAAACGACTCTTCTGAGACTACTGAGCCATCAACTTTGATTCGAGAGAAGCCCGAGCTCTTGAAGGAGTGGCAACTGTGGGGTTCTATACGGCTGCTACAAGGGCTGTATGCCGGCCCAGAGGACTTGACTCAATACGAGTGCTAAACGAAAAACAAACTGATAGAGAGCCCCACTCGGGATACATCTAGCCCGAAGCGCAACCTGCGTATTGAGCAGGCTTTACACCAGATTTGCAGCAGGTGTGTGGGTCTTAGTTGAGCATTGAACTTCTTTCTGGTCCTGTACACCGACAGCCGAAACAACTAAGAGTACTATAGGGGCCGAAATAATTACCAATACTATTGTGGGGATCCTTGTTAGAATTACAGTATAATGGGCCCCAAAACCCTATTCTAAATATGAAGGCCCCTATAGTATGACACCCTGCATAAACACGAACCGAAAACACCCTGCTCAACCGCTTCGTAAACCTGTAAACGCTTCATTGGATGGAGCACCCTAGCTCAACAAAGGCTAACGTTTGAAACGCTAGGACTTAATATGCACCAAAAGGCTACAAGTTACCCAATTTAGGGGCCTGAATCATTACATATATCATTTTGGAGGTTCTTGAATACTGTTATAGTATAACGTACCACAAAAACTGTCTTCTAATTATCAGGGGCCCTACATAGATCCCTTACAGAACCCTTAAAGGAACCCTCATATAGAGCCCTTAAGCGGGAACTCCGCTCATAATCATGAAGGCCCCTACAATACAGATCCGTTGCTGAGGTCTCCGCTCCAGGCTGGCCTTTCTTGATGGTAAACGACTGATGCAGAGCGGCCTGCAACAGAAAGGCTCTACTTGGAGGCCCTAGGGACGTAGCAAGGGTTCTTCAAAGGGCTCCTTAAGGGATATATAGGGCTCCTTACAGGGATCTATAGGGCTTGTTAAAGGGATGTATGGGGTTTAGGGTTCAGGGTTTACTTGGAGGGGCAGGGGACTTCGTACGTAGGTTATAAGTAGGGTTATAGTTGGGGTAGCTCCATTGTAGAGGGTGTTAAGGGATCCTTAGGTTTCTATAGGGTTCCGCTTAAGGGTATTATACGGGTCCCTTTAAGGGATCCATAGGTGCTGTCTCTTTAAACGGCTCTTTTTTCGACTCCATAGGGGTTAGGGTTTAAGGGCCCTGAATAATATTACCAATACTACCCGGCCTTCCAAAACCCCTTAATCAAGGAATATACCTTAATTCATATTAGTGACCCTATTATAATTTAAGGTATATTCCTAAATTAAGGGATTTGGGAAGGTCTGGGTAGAGCGCCTAAGGGCTTCAGGCTCCGGGTTCCCAGAGACTCCAATATTCGAAGCAAGACACCTTATGTTTTCACAGGTTCCCTATATGATGTACGGTATATTAATAAAGGGAATCGAAGGAATATACCGTAAATTGAAAAGGGTTCCCTGTTATGATTTACGGCTTTACGGTATGTCAAGGGATATCGGAGTCTCTGGGTTAAAGGGTGCTTGAGGGTTTGGGCTGTAGGGCTCAGGCCAAAACAACTTCCCAGACTCCCCAATTAGTTGCTAAGGGTCCTGGCGTCCGAAGCCAAACCCTAAACCTTAAACCCCTAAACCCTAAACCCGCAACCCACCGAAACATCGAGGACTTGCTTGGGAGTCCCGGAATTGAGGAGACAGTTTCAACTGTTTAGGGGTTTTAGTGTTTCAGGGTCTAGGGTTTAAGGTTTAGGGTTTTAGGGTTTAGGGTTCAGGGTTTAGGGGTTTAGGGTATAGGGTTTAGGGATTAAGGTTTAGGGACCTTAAAAAGTCCTCTTGACAGGTTGTGCATGGACCACTTTAACTCGGGAGATGCACGGCCCCGTTCCCTTCACATTCATTTGGGTTCGGGGGGTAGGGTGCAGGACGCTGATTAGAGAACTCTTGTCAAAGAACGCTTATAGAATGCATCTAGCCCTTACAGAACCCTTGCAGAACACCACAACACGTCCCGAACTCTCTAGGGGCTTCTATAGGACCCTTGTAGAACCGGTATAGGCTCTAGCAGTGGTAGGAGGCAGCTTTGGATCGGTCTCAAGACAAATATTAAAGTATGGTACTCCGTAGCCCAGGTTCAGGGCACGGTCACCCGACAACGAGCAGAAACGGCGCGTTGGTGAGCGTAGTTCGGGGTTCATCGATCGTGGAAGCCATATCGGAGATGGGCCTTAGTAATCACCTATAGTATTGTGGTGGTTCCTTATGATAACTATAATATACTTCTCAAGGCCGATGAAATCAAATTTTTCACAGAGATTGGAGTTTTGGGGACTAAATGATTACGGTGTCTTAGGGTGAAGCTTGATTCCATGCCCCAGCCGTACAAAATGGTCCGGTAGAACTTGGGGCTCACCTTATACCCCTCGCACAAATCATTCAGCTTCTGGATCCGGTAGAGTTTGGGGCATACCGAGACCCCGCAACCCAACTATATTGCACCCTCGGATACATCCCAAATGCCCACCATGAGGTTTCGAAGCCTTCTAGGACCTAACCCCAAGGGTCCAAAGGACCCAATAATTAGGTACTCGGTTTTAGGATAAAAGTTATGTAGGTTAGGATTTTGGAGAGTATATGATTATTGGGTACTTAGACCCTTGGGGTAATATAGGGGCCTTAACAATTAGAATAGGGTTTTTGTGCCCAGTATATTACTATAACTGTATTGAGGAACCGCCAATATAGTAATTATAGGTATCCATTTAAGCCCCTATATTATTGGGCTTTGGGTTTTGGGTTTGGTTTTGGGGTTGAGGACCTGCCTGCGTGTCTTCTATCGACTCCCTCACTTTCTCCAAAGCCTGGGCGTGCTGTTGCTTTGGGGGTTTTTCGGGCCTACCCATAGGCTCCATAGTAGCTCCTTTTTGGGGTTACCTTATAGGATTCTAAGTATGAACCCCAAAAAGGAACCGTACTATGGAGCCTGTAGGTATAGGATTTCACGACTTAAGGGGTCGGTTTTGCGGGGTCTACGGCAAATCTTATTCTGTAAGGGCTTGATACCGGGATGTATGGTGGAGGCCTCAAGTCTTGATGCCTTGATGCGTGCTTCTTTCAGGGCTTCTTGGCGAGGGTATATCGGTTCCCTCAACCCCTAACTTTTCTTCGTGGCGGAGACGACCTATTCTACTTATTAAAGTCCCCATACCAAAGCCTTATAGTGCCCCTATAGTACCTCTTAAAGGAGCCATCGCATCTTAGCATGGGATCACAGCTGGGATTAAAGGCAGTACCCAGAGAGACCAGGATCCATTAGTTCAGGAATGCCCTCCGGATTTCATAAATTAGGGTTTAGGGTTTTTGGGGTTTAGGGATTTATGTAAACAGATAGACATCGAAATAGGGATAGGCATAGATGGGCATAGATGTAGGTGCAGATAGGTAGAGATACAAACTTAGATCTAGAGATGAGAGGGGCGTAACAGGTATATTCTTTAGAAGCTGCCCCCACCCTTTATAATAGTGACTATGAGGTTTATATTAGGGCCCTATTATATTCCTATTATACCACTATTACAGGGTGGGGGCCCCTTCTAATATATTCTGTACTGAAGGGGTGCTGCGCAGCTCTCTTCGAAAGTGGGCTTCACGATCCCCTTGTGCGTGTGGACGTCAATCCCCAGACTAAGACTCTGAAGGATATAACTATAGCTAGGGGACAAAGAAGCACATAAGCATAAGCATTTTATAGGGATATCCCTACCATAATGGGCTTCCTTATAAGAGGGTTTATATGGGATATCCCTATCCTAATTTTCGCTTATGTGCTTTTTTGGGGCTCTATATAGGGGTGTAGGGTTCAGGGTTTCGGGTACCATCTGGGTACTGCCACCACACATCACAATTGCATTTTTTGATAATCCAAAGATTTATGGCCCTTAATAGTAGCTCTATAAAAGACTGCTGTTGTATGGTGGCAGTACCCAGTATCTCCTATCATACTCTAGCGAGATAGGGAGTGTATACAAAGGCTCTTTCCCAAGCTCAAGTGATAATACGGCCCAAAAATCTACAGTATATTCCTTCGAAACCCTCAAACAGCCCTCCCTCCTGATCCCATTAAAACCCAATTATTGAAGGCACATTACTTAATTACAGTGTATGGGGAGAAGAAGTGGGCCCCTTGGCCCCCGGCATTGTTCATGTCTCTTCTTCCACAACCTCGGAAACTAGGATACCCAGTAACCTAAGAATAAAAAGGCCTCTCTTTTTGGCACTGGGTAACTTTATAAGGAACCTAGGACTACAAAAAGGGAATAAGGGTACTACTGGGCATCCTCGGAAATGTCCAGAGCATGTTCAGGACAGTTCTGGGTTGGCGGTTTCGGGCTTTTCTTCAGAATTGCGGATAGGTTTCGGGTTTCGGGTTTTCTGTAGGGTTTCGGGTACTCTTTTAGGGTTTTCGGCTTCAGGACAGATCGTCGATGCAACTGTCGGCGCCAAGAAAGCAACTGCAGCAATGCTGGAAATCGGAACAGGGAAGCCCAAAAAATGAAACAAGAACCATGCTATAGCCCCTCAGACGTTGAAAGCACCAAGGGTCAGAAGTGCAAACCCTAAACCCCCGTGTACTTATAACCTACGTAATAAGTCCCCTGCCTCTCCAAGTAAACCCTCAACCGACATCCTCCAGGAGCGGCACAGCGTGCAAAGTCGCTCGTTTCTGGGTAGCAGCCGCCACAACCATCCAGCTTGACCAGGTCCTGCCGAAGCGTTCTCGAGGGCTTATGGGGTCTGTTTTGGGGTTTATAGGGTGTCGATTTCTCTGGTTTATGTCCGGTTTTAGATTGGTCGTTGCTTTTCTGGGTGTTGTAAGGTTTTACAGGGATCTTATTCATTTGCCAGAGTCCTTCTTCTCGCTCGCTTCCTTGAACTTCGGCACGATGTTGCCAACAACTTTGGAAAGGGTATTCGGTATTCTCCTTCACCTTGCCATCGCGGCATTGACATCCACAGGCTCCATTGTCTCAATCAACTTTGCGATGCTGTTTTGGGGGTCAATACCTTTTGCAATTCCTGCTTCTGCATGTCAGGGTGGAGTTTAGGGTATCTTGTGTTGGGCTTCAGGCTTCATGGATATGGGTTACGGAGCTTGAAGGCTTAAGGGACCCAGACCTTCCATAATCCCTTAATTAAGGAATATACCTTAAATTGTAATAGGGTCCCTGATATGATTTAAGGTATATTCCTTAATTAAGGGAGTTTGAAGGCTTCGGGGAAGAGACCTTAAAACGCAGTGCTCCTTGCTCGGAGGAGCATGTCAGGAGAACGGTATCCTTTTTCTGAAAATGAGTGAGTCTTCACTCTGATGTGCAGAGAACCACCAGGATCCTTCAGTTGTGGGAGTTAGGATTAGGGCGACCCTTGGGGATATAGACCCTCTCAATAAGGCCCCTTATAAGAGAGCCAGAAGTAGGGTCCAGAAGGGGTACCCTTTAAGGGGTCTCCCTAATAATACTACCTAAATTCTGGGTTGATTAGTTATGGCGTGGGGTTTCCTACAGCTCACAGCCTCCTTGAACGAGGCTTCCCAGAAGCCCCTTCAGAACGGACTCCACCGTCTGAGAACCCCTATAGTAACCCTTAAAGGAACCCTAAACGGAACCCCTAGTTAGGTACATGGAACCTTTAGGATTTCATAAGGGTTCTGTTCCCCCAAGGGTCGAAGTACCCAATAATCATATACTCTCCAAAATCCTAACCTACATAACTATTATCCTAAAACCGAGTACCTAATTATTTGGTCCTTGGGAATGTTGGGGTTCAATCTGACAAGGGAAACCCAAAACACAAGGGACCAGATAAACTCCGAATCACCCTCGACCTTAGACCATTAAACAAACTGCTTAAAGCCCTGAATACCCCTGAAGGTCTACACCCTAGCCTGGCAGTAGTTTTATAGCCGAACCTGTATCCTCAATCCCGCTACAACACCGTAAGCGATCACCCCTTAAGTAAGGGTTATGATCACCGAAGCATTCTGCTAGACCCCGTAGCCCTAAACCCTGAACCCTCAAACCCTCCAACCCTATTATCCTATATAAATCCTAAACCCTGAACAAAACCCTCAACCCGTAAAGCTCGTCCTGGTGCAGCTCACGGGAGGCTTCTCCCAAAGCCTCCAGGAAGACGGAGAACCTGGGCTGCTTGAGGGGGCTATAAATTAGGGCTTTTCCTGCTCAGATTTTGGCTTGAATTAGTGCTTATAAGGGTTTAGGGTTTAGTGGTCGGGTTTTGCTTTGGCGCTTTGAGAAGGGTAGGTGATAGGCGTCTTTACGAGTGCTTTTGGGTTGTTGTACGAGGGCTTCTTACATGCCTTTCAATGGCTGCGTCATACACGCTTAGGGTGTTCCAGGGCCTGTATTAGCTACGAGGACTATAACAGACTTTTTTCGAAAGTTTGGCAGATGCTTCAAGCGATTCGCATGTTCAGAGGGATTAGCGTCTATGACCTGTGAGGAACTCGGAACTTGGATGCTTAGTTGACGCCTGGTCAGGCTTCCAAAAGGGCCGCAAACTGGCTTCACAGACTTCTTAACTTCTGATATCATGAGACACCTGAAACATACCAGTGCCATTCATGTCAATGTATGTGCTTTGCGAAACGTCTCGTGGTTTACAACCTCTTACACTGCCGCTTAAAGGAACCCTAAGCCCATGAACCCGGTTCGAGCCTCTTCAATCCAAGGCAACCCAAGCAGGGGCCTCAATAATTAGATTAGGGTTTTGGAGCCAACTATACTACAAATCTAATCAGGAACCCCCAGAATAGTATTGGAAATTACTGAGGCCCCTATACTAAGCCCTTACAAAATGTAGGAAGATGAACTCAGAGAACTTCTGAGCTTGGGGGTTTAAGACGGACTTTCAGACGACGGGTGTAGGGATGGGAGTTACGACTTTAGCCCTAAACCCTAAACCCTAAACCCCTAAACCCTAAACCCCAAACCCATAAACCCTAAACCCCTAAACCCCTGAACCCCTAAACCCTAACCCCTAAACCCTAAACCCCAAACCCCTAAACCCTAAACCCCTGAACCCCTAAACCCTAAACCCCTAAACCCCTAAACCCCTAAACCCTAAACCATTAGGGCTAGCTGTGGGCGGGCTTTGGGACTTTCTGGCTGCAGGTCTTCAGTCTTGAGGGGTTCAAAGATTTAAGGCTTTCGTCTGCCGTTCCGGTTGTTGGTTTCAAGCCCTACCTATAGTCTCCATTGTAGTTCCTTTTTTGGTTTAACCAATTTTATACTGATTAAGGATCCCCAAAGGTAACCCCAAAAAGGAACTACAATGGAGACTATAGGTAAACCCTTAACTCCAAAGCCAAACCCCGCTTTGAAAGACTTTGTAAGATCGACAAGGGCTTTACACTCTGAACAAGTGGTATTAGGCTTCAAGCTCTGATTTGGGTTCGCAGGCTTCCGAGGTGCGGATGTGGGTTCGCGACTTTTGGGGCCGGGAGCTTTGGGGTTTTAGGTTCGGCGTCGTTGCATGCAGCCATGGCGCAATCCCCGGCGAGGCATTGCGATGGGATGTCATCAGACGGCAGGACACTTGTTCTGCTGACTTAACACTTGGGGCTTAGGCTATCGGGTTTGTGGGCTCGAGGGCGCATGATTGCCCATGCACCATCCTTCCATCTATTGCCGAAACTAAACCATACTAGTTCGATATAGACCCTGGGCGCTTGACCTGATGAAATCAACTGAATGCGGACCCTTCCTAATAGATAGGCATATTGTTGTATGGACCTAGGAACCCTTACAACACCCCTCTATACAACCCTCTTAAACTCTGACCCTGCGCATTAAAGAGCCTCTTAATCCCACATATTCGGAAGGGCCCCATCTGTTCCTTCAGGCTCTTGGGCGAGCGCTGCGGATGCGGCAGAAGAGTAGCAAGCAGTCGGGACAAAAGGTGCAGGAAAAAACGGACAACTATTCCTCAATGTACTACAAGTACCTGTTTGGGGTTTTAACCAGGTGGCCTGAAGCAAAACAGCCCAGAAAAGAAACCGTTCGCGGTTGGGCAGCATAAGAGGAACCACCCTAAACCACCATGTACACCTTAAAACCCCAAAAGGCTGAACCCTCAGCTCGAGCTTTAAACCGCCCTAAAATAGGGGCCTTAGTAATTAGAATAGGGTTTGGGGGCCCATTAAGCTATAACTATACTATAATAAGGAACCCCCAAAATAGTGTACCTGAACCTACCAAAACCTGCTTTTCTGTCGGGTCCCTATAAATTCCATATTGAAGTTTATAATAAGAACCTACAAAAAAGTAAGGTTTGGTAGTTTAAGGTATATTAAACCCTAAATACCCGTGTGTTGGGCGCTCGTCGAGAGATTCGGTCTCATCGGATCCCTACCAAGGCCGAGCTCTGCTGTCCGCACTTAGTTTGAGGCGCCAGTTACGGAATATGGGGTTTCGGGTTTAGGGTTTAGAGGTTAAGGTTTAGAGTTTGGGGTTTAGGTTCGTTATTGCTTGTAGTTGGAAGAGGATTCCCTACAAGGTTCCTTATAATGAATTTAATTTAAGTTACGATAGCAAGGAAGCCATACTGTTTACGATAGATCCTTATCCCTAGGGATCTAAGGACTCATGCATAAGGCTTTTGGGCCATTTCCATCCCAAAGGGAATTACCGGGTATTATGGTAGCTTAAATCAAGCCCCTTAAAGGGAACTCCAGAAAGTTGGACTATGGATTAATGGTAGGATCCCCTATAATTTACCTTAAAGGGGTTACGACAATGATATTCCAACTTTCTGGCTTCTACTGCAAATCAAACCCCTTAACAAGAACCCAGTTAAGGGTTCCTTAGGGCTCAGGGGGCCTGAAAGCTTAGCAGAGGGATTCGGGGTAGATGTAAGAAGGGGCCCCCACCCTGTAATAGTGACAATAAGGAATATAATAGGGCCCTAATATAATGCTTATAGACTATTATAGGGTGGGGGCCCCTTCTAAGGTAGATGTTAGTTTCTGTGTATAAAGGGACGGACACACCATCACTGATTCGCTGCTTACTTAGACCCGGGTGTTAGGGCTCAGGGAACTAGTAGATTTGAGGCTCTACATCTACGAGTTTAGGGCTTAGCGGGCTTAGGGTGTAGGGCTTTGGGTTTAAGTTTCTACTCTCTCCTCGCCCTATGAACCCCAACAAAACCACCCATGTAATCGACCCCTACATTTTATGCCCCATAAACCTAATCCGAGAGTCCTACCACAGCTATAACAACCTAGAAGAGTTCCGGACCATTACTTGAGAATCTTCACAAGCCTTTTGTGAACGGAGCCGGCTTCTAAGATTCTAGTTACCCCTTAACCCCCAAACCTAAAACCCCCGACACCCCGACACCCCCAAGCCCTAAACCCCATAAATCCTCACAGATCCTTCACAGGACCCCTCATAAGGTTCCCTGTAAAGGAACCCACTTAGAGGCCCAGGGGACTTAGTACCAGTAAGTAGGTTATAAGTAGGGTTATAAGTACCCTAAATGGAGCTACCCCAATTATAGCCCTACTTATAGCATGCTTACTAAGTCCCCTGGGCCCCCAAGTAAAGGAACCCAGAGCCCTTAAGCTTTTAATGATGCACCGTGTGCTTCGTGAGCTGTGCTGACGACCGGAGTTCTCCGCAAGTCGCCAGCAACTCGAGGCTCCGGCTGTCCAAACAGTTTGAGCCGAATGTTATATGTAATAGAATATGTAAGAAATGCGGTGTACTATGGACTATATGTTATACAGTTTACATTAGATGTTATATATATATATATGTATATAAATACACATACGGTGTATTACAAATTGAATATAAATCTTCTGCATTGTATAGTACATATTTTTGATAGAATATGTTCTAACATATATATATATATATATATATATATATATATGGCAAAGTCTATACAACATACTATGTAATATATGAGGTATCTTATATAAAATGGTGTATGCATATATATATATATATTAATATATACATTATGTACACATAAGATTATATGATACATTGTAAACTGTGTGCTCTATGATATATATATATATATATATATATATAAATACAAGTACACATATATATATATATAAATAGAAATACAAATACAAATACAAATACAAATACAAATATAAATATAAATATAAATACAAATACAAATATAAATATAAATATAAATACAAATATAAATATAAATATAAATATAAATAAATATATATATATATATATATACATACATATATATATATATATATATAGTATATTAGCTTCATGTGTATGCAATATACACAACATGTTGCATAAGAACACTATGTGTGTATATATATATATATATATGTATATACATATATTATGTTGAACAAGTCGCCACAAGGCAGTGTGATGAAGGGCGAGTAGGGCTTAGAGTTTATTTACACAAATGCTCTGGGCTTGCAGGTTACGACTTCAGGTTTGGGCAAGCTGGAGTGGCTGAAAGCCCTGTACAGTCTGTACACGTACACGCTCGCTTGTTGAATCATCTGCCATTGCATCTCCCTTTTTCACCTGACTTCTGGATTAAAAACCAGATTCCAAAACCCTAACCCGTGAACCTCGTGGAATACCCCGGTAGAGGGACGGACGAACCTTTCACTCAAGGCTTCGGGATCTGCCTAAGGCAGACTCGATACAACAAGAGAGGACATAGTAACGTAGTACCCAGAGAGCAAATTAAGGAAAAACCGAAAAACCTTCATGAGGCTGCTCATCCTCAACTAAAACGATATTCCAGAAATTACACACGGCTTCTTATTCTGCTACTGGGCTCTCCGGGTATCTGGGAGGAGGGTCCTGCAGGCGTTTCACGCCCCAAAGGCCCCCACAGTGAAGGCGTCAGGAAGACGACGCAGGGTTTAGGGTCGGTTCATACTGTTGATGATACAAACCCTGCATTACCTTAAGGACCCTGACCTATGGGAATTATGGCATATTCCTCATTACGGGTGATGCAGGATTTATATCATCAACCGTAGCTTAGCATGACGCCATGAAGCGATCATGGGCTAGTATTTTGAAGGACGTGAGGCCTTGTGGGTTTATGTACTGATGGGAAATACCCGATCATTAAGGGGCTATAGTTATAGTCATTTACTCTTTAGGAACTTTCATAAGTAGTATCCTAGAACCAGATACCTGCTTGATTGGGTCCACTAGACCCCTGAGGTTTAGCTAGTTGTTCTTTCATTCTTGCCGGGTTCGGGCTCAAGGGTTCAAGAGTTTACGGGTGTACAGGGCTGTGAGCTTGGGAACAAACCTGGCCAGAGGAGCCAACGCAGCATGCAAACGGAACATACGACAGTAGACTCTGCCTCAGGATCCACAAACCTAGCGGTTTAGGGGTCTTACGCTGTTATAGCAGGGTCATGCATCTAGGCCTGTAGGGTTTGGGGTTACAAGTGGCAGACATAACGGGTTCGCCGACAAAGCTCTCACCGGCACTGTGAAAGCGATACGGCAGCCGCAGCCGGTAGAAAAGACGGCGCCGAGTGAGAGGTCTGCACAGGATTGGAGATTTCTCGCACAAAGTAGTACGACTACCATTATCTTTAGTACGAAACTGATTGCAATTGTACCGCACCTTCTCTGATCATAATAAGAACTATGTTTATACATGAAATTACCGTTACCTACTATGAGTACTGCCGTCGATAGCAATGGCATGTGTCGAAGCAATGCTATACTTTCTTTTGTTCGGGTCACTACTACTAGCAGGACAGTCTCAACAAGCCTCTTAGACCCATAAGACATCATGTTTAATACCCTGTTCGGTTTCTACTGGAATGAAAATGAAAGCCAAAATCTACGAAACGATCAAGAACTTTTTCAAAACACCAGAAAAAACATATTGGAATCTTGGGGTGGTCTGCTTTGCATCATTCCACGAAAAGTTCACTTCCACCCAACCTCCCAGGCCCCTCAACCCTGAGCCGTAGCCAAAAGCAGCACCGCGACCTAAACCCTAAACCGAAACCCTCAACCCCAAAACCTGAACCCTGAACCGAAACTCTCAACCCCAAACACGAAAACCTGAACCCTCGAACGAAACCCCAAAGCCTAAAACTTGAACCCTGAACCGGAACCCTAAACCCTAAAACCTGAACCCTAAACCGATCTGCCCTGCCTGAAGCTGCCCCTTTGGAGGCGCGAGGATCCGCCGGCGCTGAGGGGCCTCGGATTTCCCGAATCCGAGTTTAGGGTGTTTTCGCCAGAAAACCCTCATAGAACCCACTTATAAAGCCCTTATCCCCACCCCCCTCTCCCCCCATAGAACCCCTACAGAAAACCCCTGATAGAACCGGGACCCAAAATCTTAAATCCTAGACGCTTAACCCTAAACCCTGAATGCTAAACTCTTACGGCGATGATTTTTAAATACCCGGACATCTAAACAAGTTAAACAGGTGTGTCATACTACTTCCGTGGGCATTGTCTCTGGGCCAACACACGGAAAGACAACAACACGAGACTCCAGCCCGCAGACTCCGTCCTCCAACCTTCGCCTCTCCAGCCCTCTTCCCAGCCCTTCAGCCCTCCAGCCTTCCAGCCTTCCAACCCCTCCTGCCATCCAGCCAGCCTTCCAACCTGGAAGGCCGGAGGGCTGAAGGCTGGAAGGCTGGAAGGCTGGAAGGCTGGAAGGCTGGAGGGCTGGACGGCTGGAAGGCTGGAAGGCTGGAGGGCTGGAAGGCTGGAAGGCTGGAAGGCTGGAAGGCTGAAGGCTGGAAGGCTGGAAGGCTGGAAGGCTGGAGGGCTGGAAGGCTGGAAGGCTGGAAGGCTGGAAGGCTGAAGGCTGGAAGGCTGGAAGGCTTGAAGGCTGGAAGGCTGGAAGGCTGGAAGGCTGGAAGGCTGGAAGGCTGGAGGGCTGGAGGGCTGGAAGGCTGGAAGGCAGGAGGGCTGGAAGGCTGGAAGGCTGGAAGGCTGGAAGGCTGAAGGCTGGAAGGCTGGAAGGCTGGAAGGCTGGAAGGCTGGAAGGCTGGAAGGCTGGAAGGCTGGAAGGCTGGAAGGCTGGAGGGCTGGAGGGCTGGAAGGCTGGAAGGCAGGAGGGCTGGAAGGCTGGAAGATTGGGGAGCCTGGAATGCTGGAAGGCTGGAGGGCTGGAAGGCTGGAGGGCTGGAAGGCTGCAAGGCTGGAAGGCTGGAAGGCTGGAAGGTTGGAAGGCTGGAAGGCTGGAGGCTGGGAAGGCTGGAGGGCTGGAAGGCTGGAAGGCTGGAGGGCTGGAAGGCTGGTAGACTGGAGGGCTGGAAGGCTGGAAGGCTGGAGGGCTGGAAGGCTGGAGGGCTGGACGGCTGGAAGGCTGGAAGGCTGGAGGGTTGGAAGGCTGGAGGGCTGGAAGGCTGGAGGGCTGGAAGGCTGGAAGGCTGGAGGGTTGGCAGGCTGGAAGGCTGGAGGGCCCGCCCCCCACATGTTTTAAAATTCTCACCGTAACCCTAAGTACCAAACCTAAAGCAATCTAAACTCTTCGACCCTCAATCCTAAACCCAAACCCTTACCCTAGGCATCAAAATGGCCCAAAAGCCTTGTATAGTATGGTCTTTGGGCCCAAAAGCCTTAACATATGAGTCCTAGATCCCTAGACCCTATAGATCCCTTTAAAGGACCCCTTATAGATCCCTTTAAAGGAACCCTTATAGATCCCTTTAAAGGAACCCTATATGAGATACCTTAGATCCCTAGGGATATAAACCCAAACCCTCATAGAATCCCGCCTGCATGACTCGCACAGGTGACAGGTCCAGGTCAGCCCGCAACCAGGCACACATGGGTGATCCTTGCAAGGTTGGTTTCTTCGCTTCGGGCTTATAGGCAACTTATAGGGTTTAGGGTTTGAGGTTAGGTTAGAATTTTGGGTTTAGGGCTCTGAAACTTGAAGTTTGCTCTTAGGGTCTTTGGGGGTTGGGGGCACTTTCCATTTTTGTAATCTCTCTCTCTCTCTCTCTCTCTCTCTCTCTCTCTGTCTCTCCTGGTTACCTGGAGTTTCCAATATAGCTCCTCCTTGGTTGCACTGTCTTCATAAACAAAATCCGAGCCATAAATGAAATTGATAAGCCATGTTTAGAGCGTTCTGTTAGCCGTAGCATGGGAACTACAACGGAGACTCAGGCAACTCACCTAGACCCTGGGAAGTAGTACCTCCCAGAAAAACGACTTTGAAACCTAGATCACCAAGAAAGGGTACTACGTTAGGGCTTCTGTAAGCCAGACTGCATTAGAATCATTAGACAAGCAAGAAACCCTAAACCCCTAAACCCCTAAAGCCCTGAATCCCTAAAACATAAGCCGTGAACTAGGCCTTAAACCCTAACCCCAAAAACCTTAAACCTTCAGTCCGGTCCTGCTTATATAATACCATGGGCCTAATTAATGCGCTGTTTTCCTATTCAAGCCGGTACCAAAAAGCTGTTGCCTAATAAATGCGGTTTTTTGGCTGGGGGGATGTCTGGGGTGGGGATCGTCCTGTCTGCTGGTCGTCAATCATAAAGCACCCGCGACCTAAACCCCCGCCCAAGCCCCAAAACCTTGGCCCTGAAGCCCGAAACTCTCCCTAAACCCCACTCATTTAAGGCTGAACCTTAAATCATCACCTTCAAGCCGAAGCTCAACCCCCTCAACCCCAAACCCTCGACTACCCCCAGAACTACAACCAAGCCCTAAAACCTGGCCCATCAGCCCGAAACTCTTCCTAAACCCGAAACCCATCATTCTTAAGCCCACCCCTCGGCCTAAAACCATGGCCCTGAAGCCCTAAACCCTCCCTAAACACGGAACCCCAGCCCCACCCATTAAGCCTGAAGCCTTAACTCACCCTTTGAGCCTAATCTCAACTGCCTTGAACCCTAAACCCTAGACCCAAACTGCTTCCTGATTCACAAAGGGATCTATAAGGGTTCCTTTAAAGGGATCTACAAGGGGTCCTTTAAAGGGATCTATAGGGTCTAGGGATCTAAGGACTCATATATTCAGGCTTTCGAGCCCCAAAGACCATACTGTACAAGGCTTTTGGGCCATGTTGATCCCTAGGGTAAGAGGGCTCAGGCTCGGGTTCTAGGTGGGTCATTTTAAGGACACCAAAAGGGGACCCTTATTTGGACAACCACCCATATTGGAGTCCCTAAACCCTAAACCCCATAGATCCCTTATAGATCCCCTAAAGGAACCCTGGGTAGCTCCCTTATAGATCCCTTTAATTTTGACAACCACCCAGGGTGGGGTTATCCTAAGTCATAAGTCTTAATGACTTGCTACTTATGGGCTTGAGGAGAGCTGGGGCTCGGGTTCTGGGTTTAGGGTTTAGGGGTTTAGGGTTCAGGGGTTTAGGGTTTAGGGTTCAGGGTTTAGGGTTCTAGCCGCGTTTCCTAAGTTTTGAATCCCCTCCAAAAGAAGAGGCCAGAAAGTTGAAACATGGCTTTAGGAGGATTCGCACTGGGATCCCCTATGAATTACCTTAGGGGCATGAGGAGGATGATGTTCCAACTTTCTGGCTTCTAATTATGGGTTTAGGGTTCCTTTAAAGGGATCCTACAAGGTCTCCTTTAGGGGATCCTAGAAGGATTTATAAGGGTTTCTAATATAATCAATCAATCAAAGCCACCCAGACCCGGACCCCGGTCCGAAGGGCCACTGACACCAGAGCATTCAAGCTAAAACTTTTTGTCGGGGGGGGTGGCCTATTATTTAGGACCGCACATTAAACCCTAAACCCTAAACCTTAAGCCCTGAAACATAAACCCTAACCAATTAAACCTTAAAGCCCTGAAGTCCTTGCGGCGTAGGCTGACTCGGACTGGGCTGACTCGGATTGACCTCCGCAGGGCTGAGTGCTAACGGTAGGATGAAGGTTTTGGGGTTCAGAGTCCAAGGCTTAGGATTTGTAGGCTTTAAGGTTGAGGGTTTAAGGCCTAGGGCTTCTAGGGTTCAGGGTTCACAGCTTCGGGCTTAGAATTTAGAGGGTTTAGGGTTGAGGGTTTAGGGCTTCTGGGGTTTAGGGTTCAGGGTTTAGGGCTTAGGATGTTTTGGGGCTGAGGGTTAAGGGTTCAGGGCTGAGGGATTTATAGGGTTAAGGGTTTAGGGCTTCTAGGGTTTGGGCTTCAGGGTCGCATCGTGCATGCCATGGCCTGTTGAGGCCACGAAACCTGATCTTCTGCAGCAGGATCAGGTCTCGGAGGTCTCGGAACCCTCCATATCCAGCTCCCACTATGGACTATTAAACCTTAAGGGTACCTTAATCAACCCGTAATAGGGTCCTAATAGGGATCTTTAGGGTCTAATAGCCCATAGTGGTCTTGGTTCACCAGGTCATCGAACAGGGACATTGGCGGCAATGGACAGTCTTCATCCAGACCCGAATCCTCCTGAACGTCCGGTTGAGCAACTGGCGCAGCCCCTTCCCCAGTCTGTCCAGACAAAGACCCGTTTTGAAAGGGATTCTCGGATGAGCTGCACGGAAAGTCACCAGGAATCCGGTTTCAGGGTTCAGGGCTTAGGATTTATAGGGTTTAGGGTTAAGGGTTTAGGGCTTCCAGGGTTTAGGGTTCAGGGTTCAGGGCTTAGGATTTATGGGGTTTAGGGTTCAGGGTTCAAGGCTTAGGATTTATTGGGTTTAGGGTCAAGTGTTACTGTTTAGGGTTTAGGGTTCAGGGCTTAGGATTTATAGAGTTTAGGGTTAAGAGTTTAGGGCTTAGGGCTGCTAGGGTTTAGGGTTAAGGGTTCAGGGCTTCTAGGGTTTAGGGTTCAGGATTCAGGGCTTAGGATTTACAGGGATTTATCGGGTTTAGGGTTCAGGGTTCAGGGCTTATAGGGTCTAGGGATCAGGGCGAAGGGTTTACAGGGTTTAGGGTTCAGGGCTTTTCGGTTCTAGGGTTCAGGGGTGCGGTTCGGTAAAAGCCCTCATCCTTCTCATGAGGGTTTGGGTTTAGGGCTCAGGGTCTACCCCGGCATAATGTAGGGGCCTTAACAATTAGAATAGGGTTCCTTTAAAAGGAGCTATAAGGGTCACTACAAGGGGATACTACAAGACCTCCATGATATAGGGGCCTTACTAATTAGAATAGGGCGTTGGGGCCCATTATGCTGTAACTATAATAAGGAACCGCCAGGTAATTATTATAAGGCCCCTAAAGTAGCAGCATAGCAATGTACGGCTCACACGACTTGAGAAACTCCCCCATCGACTATAGCCCAAACCCCTACAGCCCCCCCAAAGCTGAAATCGAGAAGCAACAAAGCAAAACGCTTGAACCCTGACTTCTACAATCCCTTCGAAGCCCGTTCACACCGTACACACTGACACCCTCCAGCTTCCCCTAACAACGCTCCCCCCAAAACAGCCTAGGTATTGCTGAGCCCCAATGCCTCCTTTCGCGTCGGTGAGGCCGCATCTATGGGCGGAATGGCAAAGATCTCCGATTCGCGCCTGCGGACCTCCATGGCTGGTTCAAGATGGTTTTGGATTCAAGCTTATCAAGGGTTAAGAGGCTTGGAATTTGGGGTGTTAAAGGGGTTTGAAACGGTTCGGACCTCTTGGCTGCAATACATGAAGAAGCTTCTACTGGGTTTGATTCCATCCATGTGCCAAGTGATGAAGAGTTCGTTCTCTGTCTTTCCTAAAAACATACCTCTGTCTTGGGCAAGCTCGGCGAACCCTTAAACCCCCATACCCTGAAACCCCAAAGCCTGAAGTCCTAAAACCCTAAACCCTACACCCCTAAAGCCCTAAACCATAAACTTTCCACGACTTCTTGACAGGTCGGGCTAGAGCTGTTTCGGGTCTCGGGTTTACGCTCATCTGAATCTGTCCTGGCATACTGTCAGCATATCGCAGCTTTTTTCGCCGCACTTAAAGGAACTTGCGTAGCCTTTGAATTTCAAGTTTGGGATTGGGGCTGGGGTCTGAAAGTAGGTACCGGTATCCCAACATGATGTAGCAAAGCGTTCCTATCTATGCATGTAGGGCGTGTAACTACTTCAGATCCTTCGAGGACACGATGACAGCCTCTCAACAGATATTAACAGAATACGTCGCTCAACTACTCAAGACCCCTCCCTGCTAAACCCCCAAAAAACAAATAACTGCTAAATCCTAACCTTCATCACAAGACCTAAACCCTTAAAACCTAAACCTATGTAAAACTCTACATCAAACCCGAAAGCCTTGAACCCTCACAACCCTAACCCTACACTCTAAACCATGACCCCTAAACCCTAAAATCCTAAACTCTAAACCCTAAACCGTAAAGTCTAAACCCTAACCCCTTAACTCTAAACCATAAGCCCTAACCCCTAAACTCTAAACCCTAAACTTTTAATCCTAAACTCTAACCCCTAAACTCTAAACCCTAAACTCTATTCCCTAAACTCTAAACCCTAAACCCTAACCCCTGAACTCTAACCCCTAAACGCTACCACAAGAACTACAAAACACGTCGCCGAGCGGGGAGCCTGGTCTTCTCGGGTCTCACGGTCTTGTTGCTGCTGTGCCTGCAGGTTACCCCCAAGGGTCCAAGTATCTAATAATCATATCCCTCCCCTAACCTACATAACTACTATCCTAAAACCGCCTACCTAATTATTGGGTCCTTGGGGTTAATGTGAGGGCCCAGGGGACTTAGTGGGCATAGGGATCAAGTTGGGAGTTTCTGAAAATTAGGGGTACCCTTATTTGGGGGTCCTTATGATAAGGGTCCTACTAAGTAGGGTACTACAATTAGGGTCCGCTATTTTCGGGAACTCCCATTTTGGAAACCCCCGACTAAGAACTCGGGAGTGAAGCAGGCAGGCCCATCACTGGCCTACTTGGAGAGGCAGGGAACTTAGTAAGTAGGTTCTAAGTAGGGTCATAAGAACCCAAGTTTGTGTTTAGGTATAGGTAGGCTTATAAGTGCCCTAAATGGAGTTCCTTCTTGTTCTAACCTACTTGCTAAGTCCCCTGGGCCTCCAAGGTAGGTAGGGGCCTTACTATTACAGTAATGATCAGAATCGGGGTTCCCTTACAGAGCTCTATATAAAGGTTGCTATAAGGGGATACTTAAGTTCTCTGCAGCCCATGCCGCGCATGCACACTGACGAGTCTCTGTCTCGGAGAAGGTCTCTGTCGTGATGATCTCCACGGCAGTCGCGGCGATATCACAACCGGCGGCCATCCACTGCCGCAGGCACCTTGCACACCAAGAACAATTGCAATCTAGCAACCTGTCTGCTCTGCTCGGTCGTGGGCCGAGGTAGTCTGGCGGCCCGTCCTCTGCGTCTCGTCGGAGTCGCCCGTGTCGAGCGGGCGTGGAGCCCAAGCCGGCGAGAAGATGACCAAGGGCGGGCTCATGCCGAAGTCGCCGTCGATCGACGCCGCCCTGCGAAGGTGTCTTCCTGCAACCAATCCGCGTGCCGGCGGGCGAGGCGAAACATCAGGTGGAGCGCCTGCATGTCGCCCACCACGTCGCCCACCACGACAGCGAATAACCTCGGCGGAGTGGGGGCACTGCCAGCCCGTCCACATCGTCGGGTCCGAAAATTAGAATAGGGTCTTGGGGGGTATATTCTACGATAATTACAATGAGGAACCCCCAAAACCCATTTGTGATTATTATTATTAAGGCCCCTATAGTACGGTGTGCGGCTTCTGGCTTCGCAGGGGTTGCTGTAAAAGGGTTCCATGAGGTTCTAGAGCGGTTCTAACAGGTTTCTGTGGGCCTCCACGGGCCCTACGGCTAAAAGGGTTTAGGGTTTAGGGTTAGGGTTTAAAAGGGTTTTGTGCTTGGGGATTAGTAACAGGGTTTAGGGTTTAGGGCTGAAAGTATTCGGGCTAGGTTTCAGTCGCATTGATGTTGTCAGCCAAAGCCCTTTGATCTGTGGTTATAATACTAGTACGGCTGGATCATTGGTATATCAGTGTTGTTTCTGCTGCTCTATTACTTCTGCTGCCGCTACACTGCTTTACTATGAATGTCGCGTTCATGGTCAGCAACAGCGATGGAGGCCATCATACGTGAAAAGTACTTGCATCATGGCTATACCCCCTTAGAAGCAGAATAAACACACTAATTTTAAATCTTCTCTTTGGTTTTATATGAACAAAACTTAAAACAGTCCTAAGGAGATTATGGATGGTAACAAACATGTTTACATGTTCTGGTCACAGTCGGAACGATGCCTACAAAGGGAAGTGTCTTGACCCCACGCTTTTTGCTACCGCTCTTGCATGTCAGAAACTTCCCGCCTGCTTCTCCGCACGGAGCTTTTCCTGGCATCTCGAGCTTAGAGCATCGCTGCAAACCCTAAACACCTACAAAAATGGGGGACATCTTGATATAGTAACCTAAATAGTAGGGTCCTTATTATAAGGACCCCAAAATAAGGTACAGCCCTAAACACTCGGTTCAGGTTCTAGGGCTTTGGGCGAGGTCATTTCGGATGCCACTCAGGAACTTCTTAGTGTCCTGTGCTCCACAGAGCGTACAGGGCGCTTGGGCTTGAAGTTGCGGGTGGGGAAGAGAGGGCAGGGTCGCGTCTCCGGTGACGGTTTAGGTTTAGGAGTTTTAGATCAGTTTTCCCAAAGGGTCCAAAGTACCTATATCGTAGAACGCAGTGTTCTAAACCTAAGACCCTTTGGGTCTGTTTGTGGGGTTCACAGGTATTGCCTCAGGCTCAGGTCAAACCCAGCATGCAAAGCCTCCTAAAAATCCGAGCTTCGCATAAAGCCCGCCATCTGGCACCCTTCGCAAAACCTGTCGAACTGCCTAATGTCGGAACCTGAGTAAGAAACCCTGGGCCCATAACCCCTAAAAAAATCGGGTTCATGATATAAGGAACCCTAACAAAGGCCCAAGGTTTCTTAATCAGGTTCCTACGTTACAACCCTGAAGACTTCACCCCCCCGACCGCCTTCGAAACAATCCCTATAGAACTATTCTGATCCTCAAAACTCTAAAGAAAAGCAAACCCTAGGGATCAAAATGGCCCAAAAGCCTTGTATAACATGTGAGTCCTTAGATCCCTAGGGAAAGCCTAATCCTCCCAATGCCAGTTCTAAAGTCCGATAAAACTTGAACCACTTCAAAAGAAGCCTAGAATCAGCTTCAACTCTCAACGCTACAGCCTTAAAACCCCTCTAGAAGCCGAAACCCCTAAAGCCTAAACCATAAATCTAAAACCCCTGTCGTGCAAAGATCCTCGAGCCTCCTTGCCACGGTGTGGACAAAGCTTCGGCTCAACAGGCCTCTTCACTGCCTGGGAGCGAAAGACCTTCGCGGCCAGCTTGATCTTATCCTTGGCCTCCAGCAGGTCATTGCACCATTCCGCTGGCTCGGGCAACTTGATGTGGTTGTACCCGAGGGCCTTCAGGTCGGCGAGCACGTTGGCGGGCAAGGTGTCGTCCTTCATCTTGACATCTTTGGCGAGGACATAGATGAGGGCGGAGCAAAACCCGAAAAAGCTTAACCACCCCCCCCTAAACTCGAAAGGCTCGCATGCCCTTGTAGCGTCCACAGAGCTCCCTTGAAGAAACCCGGGAGCATCCAAAAAGTAGATCCCTTCATGGCGGTTCCTACAAAATAACCCTACCCTTAGAAGTATAAGGATATAAGGCCCCAAATTAGGGGATCTACTTTCTAGATCCTCCCGGGAGTCTGGGTAAAAAAACCCTTGAAGTAACTCTTAAATCGTGCATTCCCATAAAGCCCCACAGACCGCTGTCGAAACCATTTAGGTATTTATGCCTTCAAGGGAGACTAAAACTTTCCCTTATGGGGATTGCGTAAGGGATCTATTTAAATACGGGTTCCTTTAGGGGATCTAGAATCTAGAACAAAGCTCATTTGATCGAGTGCCTATGACAAAGCCCTACAGCACCCTTCAAAGACCGGACCTATCATAGACCAGTGTAGTACTTTAAAGTGCGCCCTATCATAGAACCGCTAAAACCCTAAACCCTAAACCCTTTTGAGAGTTCCTTTACAGGAACTCTTCCCAGACTCGGATGCACTCAGGCCCCTAAACCCGTACTCAACCCTAACACCTTAAAGCCCTAGAATCTGCAAATTCAAAACCCTACCTGTGGCCCAGAAGGCCTACCTTGTTAAGGAACTATACATAGAAACCGTAATAAGGAAACCGAAAAAACGTAGGCCTTTCCGGTCACAGGTAAACCCAACAGTCTCTAAACCCTCTATATTTTGCACTAAACCCCTAAACCACTAATGAAATTCCTCAGCCTACCCCCCCCCCTTTCCCCCTTAAACCATAAAATTCCTAAATCCCCCTCCCCCTAAACCGCCTAAGCCCTTTGAAAACTCCCCTAAACCCTAAACCCCTAAACCCTAAACCCTAAACCCCGGAACCTGGCGCTCCCGCCGGGTGACAGCATCCCTGTAGAGTCGGACCCAGACCTGCGCAGGGGAGTTTAGGGCTGTAGGGGGTTGGGTTTAGGGGTTTAGGGTTTTAGGGGTCTCGGGGGTTTAGAGGTCTTAGGGGTTTAGAGGTTTAGGGGTTTAGGGGTCTGAGGGGTCTAGGGGTCTTAGGGGTCTTAGGGGTTTAGGGGTTTAGGGGTTTAGGGGTTTAGGGGTTTAGGGTTTAGGGGTTTAGGGGTCTTAGGGGTCTAGGGGTTTAGGGGTCTTAGGGGTTAGGGGTTTAGGGGTTTAGGGGTTTAGGGGTCTTAGGGGTCTAGGGGTTTAGGGTTTAGGGGTTCAGGGTTTAGGTGTTTTGGGGTTTGAGGCTTCCACCTCTAGTCTCCATTGTAGCTCCTTTAAAGGGGTTTAGGGTTCCTTTAAAGGGGTTTAGGGTTTAGAATATAGTCTCCATTGCAGCTCCTTTGTTTAACCAAAATCTCTATTATAGGATCCTAACCATAAAACTGGTTAACCATGGAGACTATAATAGGTAATTAGGGCTTTAGGGGGTTAGGGGTTCAGGGTTTAGTTTGGGTTTAGACTATGGCCGAGGTTAGGGAGTTTAGGGATTTAGGGGGTTAGAGGTTCAGGGTTTAGTTTGGGTTTAGAGTAGGACCTAGGTTAGGGAGTTTAGGGCTTTAGTCTAGGGGGGTTTGGGGGTTCAGGGTTTAGTTGGGGTTTCGAGTAGGACGTAGGTTGGGGAGTTTAGGGCTTTAGGGGGTTAGAGGTTTAGGGTTTAGTTTCGGTTTAGAGTAGGGCCTAGGTTAGGGAGTTTAGGGCTTTAGGGGGTTAGGGGTTTGGGGTTCAGTTTGGGTTTAGAGCTTAGGGAGTTTAGGGCTTTAGGGGGTTAGGGGTTCATGGTTCAGTTTCGGTTTAGAGTAGGGCTTATGTTACGGAGTTTAGGGCTTTAGGGGGTCAGGGATTCAGGGTTTAGTTTGGGTTGAGAGTAGGGCCTAGGTTAGGGAGTTTAGGACTTTAGGGTGTTAGAGGTTCAGGGTTTAGTTTGGGTTTAGAGTAGGGCCTAGGCTAGGGAGTTTAAGGCTTTGGGGTTCAATTTGGGTTTAGAGCTTAGGGAATTTAGGGCTTTAGGGGGTTAGGGGTCAAGGGTTCAGATTGGGTTTAGAGTTTAGGGCCTATGTTAGGGAGTTTAGGGATTTAAGGGGGTTAGGGGCTTAGGGTTTAGTTGAGGGGTTCAGGGCTCAGGGTTTTCTGTTTCCCTCTCCCTTTCTCTCTCTCTCTCTCTCTCTCTCTCTCTCTCTCTCTCTCTCTCTCTCTCGCTCTCTGTCTCACCTTTTCCATTTCTGCCTCTCTGAATATCGACATAAATGTAGACATAGATATCGATACAAATGTAAATGTAGAGATTGGTATAGATAAGACATGGATATAGACATGGGTGCAGATCAATGCGGCTTGCTTACCTGCTTTTGCTATTCACCCCCCTAGGCTCTCGAGTCAAACTCCCCCAAAACACCCTGAAGTACCAAAACCCCTAAATCCCGTGGCCTTACAGAATTCTCCGAGATCACTTGAAGGAAACGGGCTCCCGTCGACTAACCTTGAAAACACGACCTGAACACTCCAAACAGAACCCAAAAAACCCGTGTACCCCTCAACTCTAAACCTTGAACCCTGAACTCAAAAACCCTAAACTCTAAGACTCTAATCTAAGCCCTTGAAATGCCTCAACCCTAGGGCAAGACCCCACAACCTTGAGAGCCCACGACCCCTCGCAGCAGGGCACCTGCTCGGTGGAGATCACCACCTCGTCGGAGATACCTGCCTCGAGCTCTTCTTCGGTTTAGGGTTTAGGGTTTAGCGGTCTAGGGGTGTAGGGGTTTAGGGGTTTAGGGGTTTAGGGTTTAAGGGTTTAAGGGTTTAGGGTTTAGGGGTGTGCTTATAGGTGATAAGTAGGGTTGTAGTTGGGGTAACTCCATTTAGGGTACTTATAACCCTACTTATAACCTACTTACTAAGTCCCCTGGGCCTCCAAGTAGGGTTGAGGGATGTTTTCATTAAGCGCCGATGAAGGGGATGCGGTATGGACTTGTCTTAGGGGCTTCACAGGAATCAGGGCGGGGACGAGAACGGAATCAGGTTGAGGGCGGTAGTGGATAGGGACAAACAGTGTAATCCTGAACCATAATTAACCCAAAATTTAAAGGGCTAAGTACCCAATAATGAGCTTCTCTCCAAAACCCTAACCTACACAACGACTAATTAGCCCAAAACCGAATACCTAATTAATGGTTGCTTTGGACCCGTGGGGTACGGGACAGGCATTTCCAAGCTTTGGGGCACGCTCACGGTTTACGGCGTCATCGTGAAGGCCTTGGCCTTATGATGCAGTGCTGCGTGTAAGGCCACGCTTCTTGGTCACTCGAAGCCGGCCGATCGTGCAAAAGCACGCCGCGGGCCAAGCGAGCCAGGTGGCCTTGGACCACATTGCCTGCATACCAAAATGCCGGATGTTCGTGGAGGATATTTTAACCGAACACAACAGCGCCGAGTCTGCCCTGCCTTTAGTTCACTGTGGCTCCTGCTTGTAACGGTTATTGTAACGGGAACATGATGGGTGGGCCGAACTCGCTGTGTGCCACCACGTTGAACGACTGACCTCAGCGAATGCTATGTTGTCAAACATAACGGTTAGGGGATAGGGGAGGGGGCATATATTGGCGAGTCGAGAACTCTGGCAGAGCTACCGGGATGCTGACTGGGCTAGGACCCATAGATTCCAATATCCCTTAATTAAGGAATATACCCTGGATTGTAGGGGGCTTCATATTATGGTTTAAGGAGGATAAAAGCCTACCTGAACCTACCAAAACCTACTTTTTTCCCTATAAATTCCATGTTAGGGTGCAGAATGAGAACCTACAAAAAAACGGGGTTTGGTAGTTCAAGGTATGGTCGAGGGCCAAAGACTAGCTTGGATTGCCCACTGCACTGCTTCGACTCTCCGCAGCAACGATGTAGCTTCGTCTGACACAGACAGCCCCCCTGACAGAAGTCGATCTGACGCAACGATCGCGTACAGAAATGTCTTCCCTGTCAATGGTCTGATAGCATTCTCATGAGAAACTCGAGCCAGAAAGAATCCGAAAACCCCGAACCCGAAGTCTTCTCATCGCAGCCTTACAATGTTTAGGGTTTAGGGTTTAGAGTTTAGGGTTTAGGGTTTAGAGTTTAGGGTTTAGGGTTTAGAGTTTAGGGTTTAGGGTCTAGGGTCCCGCTACATAGGGCCCCCAAAACAAGTCACTAAACCCTCAAACACGGAAAAACACATCCCAAAAACACAAAAACCCTAAACTATCTGACCTCAAAGCGCCGTGGCCGTAGGAGAAGAGGCTGTCTTTGGAGGAAACAGATGAACCAAAAGCTTGATAACCCGAGGCCTTCTTCATGAGCTTCTGCACCACAGCCTCGGCGCCGGACTCCTGAGGCTGAAAAATTCCATTGCGCTTTGAAGGCTACGATCAGAGGCTTACCCAAAGGCTCCATAGTAGTTCCTTTTTGGGAATACCTTATAGGATTCTAAATATGAATCCCAAAAAGGAACTACTATGGAGCCTCTAGGTAGTTTAGGGCTCCCTTCAAGGGTACGATAGGGTTCTATAATAGGGTCCCCTTCCATTCCGCTTTGAAGGCTGCGATAACCCAAATGGTCCTTAGTAAGGGTTCTTAAAGGGCTCCTTAAAGGGATCTGTGAGGCTGAGACTTCCATTCCGCTTTGAAGGCTAGTGAGTTGTCCCTTGAAGCCATAGGGCCCTTAAAATATCCCCTTATAGCAATCCTGCAAGTAGACCCTAAACCCTAAACCCCGTAGATCCCTTTAAGGAACCCTATAGATCCCTTTAAGGAGCCTTACATAGAGCCCTTTAAAGGAACCCCGCTTCAAATTATTACTGAGGCTGAAACGTCCAGTCTGCTTTGAAGGCTACTAAGAGGCCAAAAAAAGGTTCTTCAAGGGCTCCTTAAAGGGATCTATAGGGTTCCTTAAAGGGATCTACGGGGTTTAGGGTTTAGGGTCTACTTGCAGCCCCCCCCCCAAAAAAAAATCACAAACCTTGTAACACCCGATGAAGCGCTTGTTGAAACCCTTGGAAAATTCTCGGAACCCCCGAATCCCTGTAGATCCTAGAAACCCTTTATGAAGCCCGCGCATGGAGAGCTCATAAAACCGAGGGGTAGAACCACTGTCAGGCCCCTTACGAAAGATTTGCAGAACCTATCCAATCCTCACAACACCCAAAATCTCAATTAGCCCTAAGGGTCCAAGTACCTAAATAAAATTTACTCTCCAAAATGGTAACCCACGTAACTACTCTCCTAAACCCAAATACCGAGTTCTTGGATCCTTTGGACCCTGGGGCTAGGGGTCGTCGATACTAATCCCTATCAACCCTAAACCCACCCTAAACCCTAAACCCCAAACCCTAAACCCTAAACCCTACACTGTCCTTGCTGTGCTGCATCATCTCCTGCAGCTTTGTCTGCATCTCCTGGCAACGAGATTGACAGCGCCAGTCGAGGCTCCGCAGGGGTTTAGGGTTTAGGGGTTTAGGGGTTTAGGGATTTTGTTAAAGAGTGTGTTGGGCCTTTCTTTGCTGGGGACACGGGATTCCGCAAAAGCCCTAAAGAAGCCCTGCTAAGCTCTTTCAGAGTTCATACCCAGCCTGCATAGAGTGGAATCCCTTATCGAAGACCCCAGACCCCGAGAGAACCTATATACTTCCAGAACACCTCATAGCATCCCTGCACTAAATGAAATATTCGTCTAAACCCTACAAAACCATTTCTCCTCGCCTTCATGGCGTCTTTCTGGCGTGCCAAGGTCTCCTCGTAGCGGGCCTTTTCCGCCTCTTCACAAAGGTGGTTTTCGGCTTGAAGGATAAGTCTTGAAGGGTGTAGGCTTTAAGGGGGCTCTGCAAGGGGCTCCATGGGCTCTTTATGCTTGAAGGAGGGAAGTCTTAGACTTCTAGGGCTTTTGGTCTTACATCAGGGTTTGGGGCTTTGCGGCTTTCAGCGAGTGTTGGCACTGCTGGGATTCACAACAGATTCAATGGGATGATGCGGATGCATTAAGAATGCCCAGGCTTATGACCAGGCTTGTTACTATATACCGTTTGCTTCACCAGTGTGATCCAACGACCGGTGCGAACCAGAAGTCGTACGAGTTCTGTTAGTACTGGGAGTGCGAGGAGTACCAACAGTACACGTAGTGTTGGTAGCACCAGTAGTGCTAGTATCACTAGTACTAGTTCATGGTTGGGATAATACCAAAAGTTTGGATGTTTATTCCTGACTGGGTTTAAGTACCCATAAAAAATGCAAAAGATACCCATCTATGACAAAGAGTAGGAAAAGCAGGCAAAGGCCCAAGACGTGCCTCCAAAGCCGCTGCGCGCTGCTTTGAGGCTCGATTCTCCTTGGGTTTGCGGGTAAATTAGGGCTTTTTGACCCAAAAAGTCCCAGGTGCTGTTATGGCGGTTATTTCCCTAAATTATACGAGTAATTCCTAGTATCGAAACCCTATACATTCTACTATATAGGTACTGTGGACCCTTTGGGTGATGCTAGGGGGTTTATAGACATGGGTTTGGGGTGTTTGGGGTCATAGATTAGGGGGTATTGGGGGGCTGAAGGATTTATGGTCAAGGGTTTCAAGGGTTTCTTTGGGTTTCGGGCGTGGCTTTTGGTAGTTTAGGGATAAGGGCTTGGGTTCTTAAGGATGTAACGTTTAAAGATTTAGTAGCGGCTCTCTTTCGTCGTCTTTTCAAAGGCGAAGCAAGAACGAGGTAACTGAGAATGAGACGAAGAGGCAACAACCAAATCGAACTAGAAAGGGATCAACCACGGGAACAAACACAAACAAAACAACTATAATAAAACACAAATTAAACGGCCTCAAACCTAACCCCTAAACCCTTAAACCCTAAACTCACCCCCCCCCCCTCCAAAAAAAAAATAATTAAAAAACAAAGAACCCTCATCTGGCCTCCCGCAACCTCTCCATCTCCTCCCTGTCGGCTGCCGCTTGCACTGCAGCCTGGCAGGGTAATGTAGGGGCCTCAATAAGTAGAGTAGGGCTCCTACACAGGGTTCTATATGGGTGGTTGTCAAAATTGGGGTCCCGTTTTGGGCACCATAATTATTAGGTGCCGTACTAAAATAGGGACCTAAACAGGGACCATAATTTTGACAACCACCTATATGAGATCTATAGTAGGGTTCTATATTCCGGGCCTTAACACTTAGAAATTAAGGCTCGTCTAAAGCGGTCGATAAGGGCTTCTATAAGCGATCGATAAGGATACTACACTATAGGGGCCTTAATAATTAAAATATAGGGTTCCTTCTAAAGGGAGCTATACGGGCTACGATAATGCGATACTACAAGGGCTCTATGATATAGGGGCCATAGGGTTTTGGGGCCCAGTATACTGTCATTACGATAGGGAACCCCCAAAGTAGTGTACTTGGAGGGTCGGGGGACTTAGTAACTGGTTATTTTAGGGACTTATAAGTATCATAACCCCAATTAGGGTCCCTTTTAGGGTACTTATAAGTCTACTTACTAACTAGTTACTAAGTCCCCCGAACCCCCAAAGTAGTGTAGGTGAGTGTGGAAGCCCCTGGAGTCCCTAGAGACAAAGGGCTTTGGGGCTCCTTTAAAGGGTTACTATAAGGGTACTATAAGGGCTCCTTTAAAGGGTTACTATAAGGGTACTATAAGGGCTCCTTTAAAGGGTTACTATAAGGGTACTATAAGGGCTCCTTTAAAGGGTTGCTATAAGGGTACTATAAGGGCTCCTTTAAAGGGTTACTATAAGGGTACTATAAGGGTTCCTTGAAAGGGTTACTATAAGGGTACTATAAGGGCTCCTTGAAAGGGTTACTATAAGGGCTGTGGGCCGTGAGGGTTGTTTGGGGTGTAGGGTTTTGGGTTCAGGGTCGGGTTAAGGGTTGAGAGTGTAGGGTTGGCACTGAAGCTGTTTGGGCTCTGATATTGCCCAAAGGGTCCTAGGTACTGTTGTGGCGGATACTTCCCTAAATCACAATAGTAATTCCTAGTATAGAAACCCTACATTCTACTGTATAGGTGCTTTGGACCCTTTGGGTCATAAGGGCTTGACACGGGTATAGGGTGTAACTAATATGGCTCAGGGAAAGTTTACGCTCAACGCCCTACTGCGAGCGGAAAATTCCGCCCGAGCTCTTCATCCTCGTACACCAACACGTCTCCGTGGTCCTGGTCAGTGTGCAAAGCGCATGCCAGTAATCTGTCCGGTTCGGCCAGATTCCATATAAGTCTCCACGCTTCCTCAAGCGCTTTCCGTTCGCTGTGGCCTTCGCCCTTGACGAAAGTCGTCACACGGTCTGAAAGCCCAAAGCGAATGAAGTCCGCTGGGTTGAGCTTGTGGAGCTGGCATGCAAAAGCGCATTTGAGCAACAGGCGCACTTTGCAAATTGTCATCAGCTTCTCAACGCGTTCTGGGTTCCTGCAGATCTCGTCCCGTTTCCCGGGACTCCAGTGCGCAGTCCAACTGACTGCTTTGTTTTCGGCACTGGCTAAGTGGTGCATGATGCCATCTCCCTCTGCTACAAACCCATCCTGAATGACGCAGACAAGCCGTAACATTCCCAGAGACTCCAATATCCCTAAATTAAGGAATATACCTCAAATTATAATAGGATCCATAATATGATTTAAGGTCTATTCCTTAATTAAGGGACATTGGAGTCTCTGGGTACAAGCCTGAAACAAATACTTAAACAAACAATAGAACGATATTTGGGAACCTGCCTGGCAGAACGGTAATGATTGCTAAGTGTTCAATCCCATGTACGGGCCAATGAAACAATCTTTGAACCCTTTTGCAAAACCCTGAGAAAACGCAAGCGCACAATCAAGCTCGCATGCACCAACATGCTACCCGATAAAATCAGCATGGGCCCTGAACCCTAAACCATAAATCCTTAACCTCGAAGCCGTAGATGCTTTAACTCGAAACCATAAACCCTACAAGCCTCAAAACCAGAAAGCACAACCACAAAGCCCGCATAGCACCCTATTGACCCCTTGCAACACACCTTATCGACCCAAGTCTGAAATCCCTAAACCATAACCCTACAAACTCTAAACCCTAAATCCTCATCACACCCTATACAACCATAGAAAACCCTTGCACATTAGAAGTAATGCCTTCTAAAACCCCTCTGTCTTCAGCCCAAATCTAAACCCTAAAGTGTGAAAACCTAAACCCCTAAGCTTGATGACTTAAGTCACAAACCACCAACTCCAAACCCTATACCTCTTACAACCGTCGTCCTCTTGCAAAGGGTCCAAAGTACCTATACAGTAGAATGTGGGGGTTCAATACTAGGAACTACTATCATGGTTTAGGGAAGTAACCCCCATAACAGTGGGTTTCTATACGAGGCATTACTATCATGGTTCAGGGAAGTATCCCCCATAACAGTGGGTTTCTATACTAGGCATTACTATCATGGTTTAGGGAAGTATCCCCCATAACAGTGGGTTTCTACACTAGGAAGTACTATCGTGGTTTACGGAAGCATCCCCCATAACAGTGCCCAGGAATATATGGGTCTGCACACGAGAGCCTCCCGCAGTTGAGCGAGCTCTCGCTGATTATCCGCGCACCGCGAATGCGTCTGCCATGCGGTACAGGTAGAGACTCCAATATCCCCTAATGAAGGAATAAACCTTAAATCAAATAAGGGATCCGAAAAAATACGGAAAATCCTGAAGTAAGGGGTCTTGGAGTCTCTGGGCAGGTTGGGTTTCTTACGGGCTCGTTTAAGCGTTTCGGCGTTAAGGCTACTTCAAGGATTCCCTTTCAAGGATGAGGGACTCTTTACGGGTCCTTTAAGCCCAAAAGCCTTGTATAGTATGGTCTTTGGGCCCAAAAGCCTTAATATATGAGTCCTTAGATCCCTCGGGGAAGATTGCAGAGGATCTGTTAAGGGATGCTTTGAGACTTTACGGGCCCTTCTTTAAGGCTTCGGGTGGGGGCTCCGCCCCATTTCTTGCTATGTGAAACCTAGAAGACTCTACGGGCTCCATCCTCTTAGGGCCCCTGTGCTCATATAGTACATACATTGGCCTTGATGTAGTCCCTATACAGGTACTTTGGGGTCCATGTATCTCCATATGGGTACCGTAGGCAAAGCGCGCCCTCGCAAAGTTCTGGTGATCGGCAAGTCGGGAACCTCCAGCTTTGGGGATATGTGCTTTGCTACCCTTGTCCTGACAGAAGTGACTGTGCCCAATGCTTTCTACTTCAATTGCAAGTATCGCCTGGGCATTCTCGCGTAACAACGCAAAGAGCACTGCAAACGAGCTGGCGCCTCACAAAGCATGCCCAGGCCCCAACTGCCAGAAGCGCAGCGCGACCGTAGTGCAGATGGGGTTTGATGTGTCGGCCGTGACCGTCTCTTCCGGCTTGGCCCTCTCATACAGAACCAATCATAGCCGCTGTGTCATGTGCATTACGCAAACCAACTTAGGGTAAACCCTAAACCCTAAACCCTAAACCCCTTAACCCTAAACCCTAATCCCTAAACCCTAAACCCTGGTTCCATACGGGATTGGGAGTTTAAGGGCCTAGGGCCTCATGGCTCCTGGAGATTGAAGGGATGGATGCTAGATTACTAGATGATACTGTGGCTGATGATATAAACCCTACATTACCCATAATTACGAATATACCAAGCTTCCCATAGTTGAGGGCCCTTAATGCAACGCAGGATCGATATCATCAACACTAGGTTCAGGGTTTGTACAGGGTCCAGGATCCACCTGCCGAAGCATGTCCACTTGATGCTGCAGAGTGGTTGGTAATTCGACGCAAAAACCACATGTTCCAGTTCGAAAACTGGATAATATGGGAGCCTCAATCACTAGAACAGGGTTTGGGGGTATATTATACTATATACAATCATAATACGGAACCCCCAACATAGTTTCGGTAGTTATTTAGGCCTCTATCGCATCCTCCCTTTTAATTTTCTTACATAGAGACCGTTATGGACCGGTGCCCATGTAAGGAAGGACTAGTTTGTGCAGCTCCCTGCTAGCTTCAAGCAGGCTCGGTTCTCCTAGCAGTAGTAGTAGTAGTAGTAGTAGTAGTAGTAGTAGTAGTAGTAGTAGTAGTAGTAGTAGTAGTAATAAGTAGCAGTAAGTAGCAGTAAGTAGGCTCTTGACAATCAGGGCATCCTTTAACCTTTGAGAAGTAAGGGGGGTGCTGGGGACTCTACAGGCCATTAACACGCCGTTCAACCCTTTGCAATAGAATCCTATTTAACAAAAACCCTAGCTCTTGCAAAAAAACCTGCAGAACCCTGGTGGTCAGATCTAAACCCTAAACCCTAAACCGCCTCTTGCAACTTCTGGAATTGCCGGCGCTCCTCCTGCGAAGTTCGGCTGCTTACAGGCTTCGGGGTGGGGCTGCAGGGCTCCAAAACCTCCCCGGGCTGATAGGGGCAAAACCCCGGCAAAACCTTAAACCCTAAACCCGAAACCGTGTATTCCCTGACCCTAAACCTTGAACCTCATAATTTGTTAAGCCCTAGACCCTACGCCTTAAACCTCATCCCTAAACCCAAGGCCCTAAATCCTTTGGACCCCATGCACCTGAACCCTAAACCCTATCATCCCAAAACCCTAGACCCTATAGACCAAGACCCTAAGCCCCTAAACCCAAAAACCTAGACCCAAACTCTAACCCCTTAAGCCCCTAAACTCCTAAACCCCTAAACCCTAAACCCTAAAACCTAGACCCCAAATTCTATCATCCCTAAACCCCTTAAACCCCGAAACCCTAAACCCCTAAACCCTAAACCCTAAAACCTAGACCCCAAATTCTATCATCCCTAAACCCCTTACCCTGGGCATCAAAACAGCCCAAAAGCCTTATATGATATGGTCTTTGGGCCCAAAAGCCTTAATATATGAGTCCTTAAATGCCTAGGGTTAAGCCCCTAAACTCTATCATCCCAAAACCCTAGAATATATAGACCCTAAGCCCCTAAACCCTAAAACCTAGACCCCAAACCCCCTTGAACCCCAAACCCCTAAACCCCTAAACCCCTAAACCCTGAACCCTGAACCCTAAACCCTAAACTCTATCATCCCTAAGCCCCTTAAACCCCCTAAAAACCCAAAGCCTCCGCCTGTCCTGGAACTGGAGCTGCTCCTCGGCCCCCAGAAGCGGATGAAAACCCACGAAGAAGCCCAGGAAGGGCTTACAGTAGGTTAGGGTTTAGGGTTTAGGGTTTGGGATTTCGGGATTTCGGGGTTTCGGGTTTAGGGGCTTACAGTAGAAGCCCAACAGTTGGAAACCCAATAGCCTCGATCCTTAAGAGCAATTTAGAGGGAATCCCAGCACTATTTGGCCTTAATCCTGTTTCCAACTTTATGGGCTTTACTGTAGGGTTCTGCAATAAGGGGTTCTTACAAGGGTTCTGATAAGGGTTTCTATAGTTCTTATATGGGTTTCTATAAAGGTTTTTGATGATAAGGGTTCGTATAATCAGGGATCTGATTATATACGGGCTTTTTAAAGGTTCTTATTCAGAAGAGTTCTTTTCAGGGTTCTATGACGAGGTTGAACCACAGGCGCTCTAGGCTTAAAGACTTAAGATATGGACTGACAAGGCTTGTGGGTTACATGTTTGCGGTTGGGGGTTATGTTTCGAGCTACCCTAGACTTAAATTATCTCGGTGACCCATCCGCACGTGCTGAGGGCATGGGCGCAAGATTGTGCAAGAAACTCTCCATCTTACTGGCCCTGCGTTTCGGAGGTCTTCTGATCGGTGGAGGGAGTCCACGCCGTGATGTGATGCCCGAGGGCGATCTGTGACGCCGTCAGTCTAAACAATATAATACCTGAACCCTAAGCCCCAAAACCCCTGAACCCTAACCCCTGAAGGATTGGCACATGGCGCAAGACATCTTCCTACTTTAAGTTTGGCCGTCTATGTTTCATTTCTTCCAACCAACCCTAAGCCCGAGAACCCCAAAGTCCAAGAACGAGACATCTCGAAGAGCTTGGATTTCGCGACGCATCTCCTGCCAATGCCGAAGCAAGATTTCGGGAGAAGGCTTTCTGGTGTAGGATTTGGTGTTTAGGGTTCTCTTAATTTAAGTTTTCCCTTGAGGGATCTTTTAAATGGCTCCACGGGTTTGGAGTTAAGGGCTTTGGGTTTAAGGCCTGAGGGTTTGATTGAAAGAGGCTTTAGCTCAGGGTTCGTCTCTGGTTTTCAAGGGCTTGGGCCCTTTATGGGTTCAGACCTTCCAAAATCCCTTAATTAAGGAATATACCTTAAATTATAATAAGGTCCCTAATATGATTAAAGGTATATTCCTTAATTAAGGGATTTTGGAAGGTCTGGGGGTTCCTGTAGAGATCTTTAAAGGGATTCTGTTGGGCTGTATTAAAACTTTGGGGTTGAGAGTATATAAACGCTGTAAGGTTAGCTACTATCGGGGCCTCACCTCAGCTATTCTATTTTGGGGGGTTCCTTATTATAACTACAGTATTATATACACCGAAACC